AATAAAAGCAAAATAAAATTTGCAGTTGAAGGAAAACAGAGAATTTGCTGCCAGAAGTTCTGCTCTAAAGAAATACTTAAAGCAAATTCTTCATGTGGAAGGGAAATGTTACCAGAGGAACTTCAGACTTCAAAAAGGAACAAACAGTAACAGAAAGGGTAATGATAAGAGTATTTTTTTTCTCCTCTTAAGTTCTTTAAAATATGTGTGACATTTGAAAGGAAGTTTTCAGTGTTTGTAGATGTAATACATAGGACAAGTACAACATAAGGTGAGAGGTAAAGGATGCTATATGTGGGATGGTTTTAACAGTTCTCTTGAAGTGGTAAAATATTATTTCTGAGTACACTGTAAAGAGCCAAGCATATATGCTGTAATCTCTAGAGTAACCATTAAAAAAACTATACAGAGATATCTCTAAAAATTCAATAGAAAATTTAAAAAATACGAATTCAAATAATCTAAAAGGCAAAAAAGAGAACAGAATAAAAACAGAGGAAGTAAAAACAATTATTAAAGGGACAAATCCAAACATAACAATTATATTAAGTGTAAATAGTCTAAATATACTGATTAAAAGACAGAGAATGTGAAAATGGATTAAAACCCAAGACCCATCGATTTGCTATCTCCAAGAAACCCACTTTAAATATAACGATATAAGTAGGTTAAAAGTAGAAAATGGGGGCTTCCCTGGTGGTGCAGTGGTTGGGAGTCCGCCTGCCGATGCAGGGGACACGGGTTCGTTCCCCGGTCCGGGAGGATCCCACATGCCGCGGAGCGGCTGGGCCCGTGAGCCATGGCCGCTGAGCCTGCGTGTCTGGAGCCTGTGCTCCGCAACGGGAGAGGCCACAACAGTGAGAGGCCCGCGTACCACAAAAAAAAAAAAGTAGAAAATGATGGCTTCCCTGGTAGTGCAGCGGTTAAGAATCTGCCTACCAATGCAGCGGACACGGGTTCAAGCTCTGGTCCGGGAAGACCCCACATGCCACGGAGCAACTAAGCCTGTGCGCCACAACTACTAAGCCCGTGTGCCACAACCACTGAAGCCTATGCGCCTACAGCCCATGCTCCACAACAAGAGAAGCCACCACAATGAGAAGCCTGCGCACTGCAACGAAGAGTAGCCCCAACTCACTACAACCAGAGAAAGCCCACGCCCAGCAACAAAGACCCAACTCAGCCATAAATAAATAAATAAATAAAAAGTAGAAAATGACATACCATGTAAACACTAATAAAAAGCTGCAGTAGTTGTATTCACATTGGACAAAGTAGACTGTGGAGCAAGGAAAATTACCAGGAATAAAAAGGGTCATTACATAATGATAAGTGAGTTAATTCATTAAGAAGACATAACAATCCTGGGACTTCCCTGGTGGCCCAGTGGGTAAGACTCTGTGCTCCCAATGCAGGGCACCCGGGTTCGATCCCTGATCAGGGAACTAGATCCCGCAGGCATGCTGCAACTAAGAGTTTGCCTGCTGCAACGAGGATCTCATGTGCCGCAAGTAAGACCCGGCACAGCCAAAATAAATGAATAAATATTAAATTAAAAAAAAAAAGACATAATCCCAAATGTGTAAGCATCCACCTAATAAAAGAGCCTCAAAGTAAATGGAGCAAAACCTAACAGAACTGAAAGGAGAAATAAACTCAGGATTACAACTAGAAATTTCAACACTCCTCTCTCCGTAATCAATAAAAGAAGACAGGAAATCAGCCAGGATATAGACGAACTGAACAACACTATTAGCCAACGTTATCTAAATGACATTTACAGAACACTCTACACAAAACCAGCACAATATATATTCTTTTCAAGTGTACCTGGGAAATTCACCAAAATAGAACATATCAAACCTTAATAAATTTTAAAAAGCTGAGATCATACGAAGTATGTTCCCTGACCATAATGCAATTAAACTAGAAATCATTATTAGAAAGACAACTGCAAAATATCCAAGTATTTAGAAAGTAAAACTTCTAAATAATTCATGAGTCAAAGACTAAGCTGCAAGGGAAATTAGAAAATATTTTGAACTTAAAGAGAATGAGCAATATATCAAAATTTGTGCGGTACACAAAATTTGTGGGGTCCTTCACAGAGGTAAATTTATAGCATTAAATACTAATACTTGACAAGAAAGGTCACAAGTCAACAATCCAAGTTTCTGCTTTAAGAAACTAGAAAAAGAGCAAAATAAAGCCAAAGCAAGCATCAGAAAAAAAGAGCAGAAATCAATGAAATTGAAAACACAAAACAAAACAAAAAAATCAATGAAACGAAAATCTGGTTCTTTGAAATGACAGTAAAATTAATAAACATCTAGCCAAACTGGCCAAAGAAAAACAGACAACAGGCACAAATTATCAATATGAGGAATAAAGGCAATACCACTATAGATCCCACAGACACAAAATTAAGGAACGATGTTGTTTGACAACTTAGATTAAATGGACCAATTGCTTAAAAGCTACCAACTACCAAAACTCACTCAAGGAGAAATAACAACATGAAGAGTTCTATAACTATACTCAAATAATTTAAAGACACTTCCTCTTTTAATATATATTTGCATTCATTTGGTGGCTTTACAATTCAAAAGTCTAATTCACATGTTTGCTAAAAAATATACAAATTTCCACTGATAGTAACGCAAAAGAATATACACTGTGTTGTATTCAACTCAATTTTTATCAGTACTTCTTGATATCTCATTAATGTGGATAGTATGTCCACTCTTAAAGGATCTCTGCTCATCAAAGTAAATCAAACATATTACTTTATATTGATATTTATATCAAGTGAATTATTAACTATAGCAGAAGAGTATTACTTGAATAAGTACTCAATGACATACATACTAATGTTTAAATCCTGCAAAGCAGGACACCTCATTTCAAACAACTGAGGTGATCCTTAAAAGCTGTGTAAAAATCAAGTATCTATTACTTACATAATATACTGAAAAGTACTGAAAAGTGCTAGAGAAGTATTATATATGAGACTGAACCAAATGAAATTGCCAATTATCAACTGGTTCAACCTAGAACAATGTAAGCATTCCTTGTTTTCTATATGATTCAGTGTTCTCAAGAGTTCTAGTCACTTCTACCAGAAAGGTTATTATAGCGTTGGGGACCGAAGTTCATTTTACATTTACCAAACGTATCCTGGAGATGTTTCATGACGAAAGTCATTTGCAAAACTAGGATATGAACATATATACGAGGAAAGGAGTACTGTACTTTACGTGGCTAGAGAACCTTTGTTTGACCTCCACTTTCCAGGAGTCTGCTATTATTAACTCTTAAAAAAAAAAAAATAAGCTCTGTTATTCAAAACGTGGAATCAGGGCTTCCCCGGTGGCGCAGTGGTTGAGAGTCCGCCCGCGGATGCGGGGGGATGCGGGTTCGTGCCCCGGTCCGGGGGGATCCCACATGCCGCGGAGCGGCTGGGCCCGTGAGCCATGGCCGCTGAGCCTGCGCGTCCGGAGCCTGTGCTCCGCAACGGGAGAGGCCACAACAGTGAGAGGCCCGCGTACCGCAAAAAAAAAAAAAAAAACACGTGGATTCACTATAGAGTAAGGATTAAGATCCACAAGGCTCAAGTATGAAAAAGAGAGAATGCAACAAAATTACTAAGATCACATCATTCCTCTGCTCAAAACCCTTCAATATCTTATCTCACTGAGTCAAAGTTCTCACTATGGCCTTTACCCATTTCCTGCTACTCACCTGCCCCCTTTACTCCAGCCCCCGTGGGCTTTTCTTGCTGTTCCTAAAACTTGCAGGTACACTCTTCTCCTCAGGCCCTTTGTACTAACTACTCCCTCTACCAGGAATGCTCTTCTCAAAGATATCCACACAACTCACCTCCTCATCTCCTTCGGGTCTGCTTAAATGTCATCTTCTCAAAATCGCCTTTTCTGACCGACCTATTAAAACAGTATCCCTAGGGACTTCTCTGGTGGCGCTCCCAATGCAGGGGGCCGGGGTTCAATCCCTGGTCCGGGAACTAGATCCCCCATGCATGCCACAACTAAGAAGCCCGCCTGCTGCAACTAAGATCTGATACAACCAAATAAATAAGTAAATAAAATAAAACAGTATCCCTACTACAAGACAAAAAAATTTTTTTTGGTTTATTGTCTGCCTTTCTCCGATAGAATATAAACTACAAGGAAGAGAGGTCTTTGTTTAATGCATTGCTATATCCTCAGAGTCTAGAACAGCAGCACCTAGAATCTGCTGAACAAGATTGGCACAAAGACTGTATATATGCCTCCAATTAAAACTTCCCTCACAGATACTAAAAAAGAGGTAAGAAAACAGTTTGGAACCCCGCGCGCTCTGTAACTTAGAACGAAACAACTACCCTCTAGAAGAAAATATTTTATTTTCAACAAAATATACTAACGAATGGCTGGATTCCCTAAAAACAAAACATTAATGCTAAGCGCACACATGCTGCAAGTCTGTTGGTACTGAATGCTTTGGTTTATCACCCAAGACTTGTGCTAAGTCATTTTCCTACGAACCAAGAAATTCTGGCTAAAGATACTTAAGGAAAAATAAAAGCGGAGTTAACCTATTAATGCTGTACAAGGATTAGGAAATACAGGATATACGAGTCCAAAGCTCACAGTACAGTGAGAGACCAGAAATCGAAATTGGGAGTGTTTGCCCCCTAGAGACACTGAGAGAGACAAAGTCCACAAAGGACTGCACCCCTTTTCTTGGCGCTAGGCATGGCATGAACACTCATTCCGGGGGTGCAGGGGGGCATAGAGTTTGGGACTGTGAGGCCTGTTTAGGATTGGAGTGGTGTATCCGGGCCACTCTCCTCTGCACAGACTTTCGCTCAAGAGAAAAGAGAGTGCCGACTGCGCCTTCCAGCTCCCAAAAAGGCTTGGGGGAGGGGTGATGAAGGTAGACCCCTCCCCTTCCCCAAGGCAAGCCCAGGGCCCGCAGGGCTACCCAGTGTCCCGGCTCACCCGGCTCCCGGTTGATCTCGATGTCGAAGTGACACTGCGGCCGGTCCTGCGCCCCCATCGCGACCGAGGCGGCGGCAAGAGCTGGGAGAGACGGGGAGGAAAGCGGTCAGGGCGCGGGGCTAGGGCGGAGCCCGCGCCTCAGTTACCTCCCGCTGGCCTGGTGCGACAGCGCCCGAGGCCGAGACCAGCTCCCTCTCACCCCAGGCCTCCCGGCCCCCATGGAGCGCGCACACACATGCAGACTAGCTCTTCACCTGGCTGGCCTCCAGCCTGAGCTGCTCCCCGTGAGCAGAGAAGAAACCGCTGCCACCACGGCCGAAGCCCAACGCCACTAACAGACCACCACCCCCGCCCCCTGGCCCGGCCTCCCAGTGCCACGCTAAACCCCGCGAGAGTCGGGACAAATACCGCGAGAGTACGGTCTCGAAGGCGGTGGGTAACCGAAGGGGGTGAGCTTACGTGGGCGTGCCTTGGAGCTCGAAGAGCCTCCAGCCTCGGCGCTCCTATTCCTGAGCTGGCCCTGTTTTGCCCCGCCCCTTTCCCCCCGTGTACGTTGGAATCGGTCGCCCAATCTGGGAAACCCGGACGCGCCTGTGCTCTCTACGTTCTGTGGTCCTTTCTCAAGGGCTGTGTCTATGTATTTGCAGGTAGCGCGAGGCTTCCCTGTTTCCGAATCTGTGAAACAGTTGGGAGATTGAGGTTGTTGAGGTTTAGTAGAGCGACAGAGCTTTGGTTTTCTTTTTCTCAAGGAGTAGTTATGGCACTATCCCGTTAGACCATTTGTCTCACTTCAAAGGCCTATTGTGCGTTCGTCCGCGCTTTGGGGCCAGCGTCACTGGTACAGTTGTGTTCAAGGCCACTCTCCCTCTTTTGTGAAGTGTTAGTTCAAGACCTTTGCCCTTATTTTAATCGCGTTCTTCGTCTTATAGAATGCAAGGGTTCTGGATACTAACATGTTGTTAGATGATATATGTATGTTCTGAATACAACTCTCTTGTTAGGTTTATGTAAGTGCGAATATTTTCTCCCAATCTGCATCTTGTCTTTTGTTTTGAAAGTGGCTTGTGCAAAGCAGTTTTTAGTTTTTGATTAAATTACTTGATCAATTTTTTCTTTTATGGCTTGTGCTTCTTTGTGTAGGAAATCCCTGCCTACCCCAAGCTCGAGAAGGTTTTCTCCTATGTTTTCTTTTAGAAGTTTTGTAGCCCAACCTTACACGATAGGTGTAAGTCTATGATCTATTAGAATTTGTGGATGTGGGGTCAGGTAGAAGTTGTGGTTCATTTCTTTTCCCCGTAGGTCTATACAGTAGTTCCACCACTATTTGTTGAAAAGACTTTTATCCATTGAATTACCTTGGCTTTGTGACCACGTATGTGCGATTCTATTTCTGGACTCTATTTGTTACACTGATGTATCTTTAGGCTGGGGACACACTGTTGGGTTGTAGTTGTTGTTTTCCATTATTAAAATTGTAAAATATACATAAAATTATCTTTTAACTGTTTTTAAGCTTACAGTTCAGAGGCTGTTAACTACATTCACATTGTTGTGCAACCATCACCACCATCTATCCATAAGACAATTTTCATCTTGTAAAACTAAAACTTTGGGGACTTCCCTGGTGGCGTGGTGGTTAAGAATCCGCCTGCCAATGCAGGGGACACAGGCTCGATTCCTGGTCTGGGAAGATCCCACATGCCGCGGAGCAACTAAGCCCGTGCACCACACCTACTGAGCCTACGCTCTAGAGCCTGCGAGCCACAACTACTGAGCCTGCATGCCGCAACTCCTGAAGCCCGTGTGCCACAATTACTGGAGCTTGAGCACCTAGAGTCCGTGCTCCACAAGAGCAGCCACCGCAATGAGAAGCTGGCACACCGCAACGAAGAGTAGCCCCCGCTTGCGGCAACTAGAGAAAGCCCACGTGCAGCAACGAAGACCCAAAGCAGCCAAAAATAAATAAATAAATAAAAATTTAAAAAAAAACGAAACTAAAACTTGGTACCAATTAAACAATAACTCCTCATTTTCCCCTCTACCCAGGATCTTGTAGCCACTCTCTACTTTGTTTGTTTTTGTTTTACTTTATTGTGGTAAGAACACAACATGAGATCCACCCTCTTTTTTAAAAATTTTTTGGCCATGTCATGCAGCATGTGGGATCTTAGTTCCCCAACCAGGGATCGAACCCACACCCTGTGCAGTGGACGTGCAGAGTCTTAACCACTAGACGGCCAGATAAGTCCCAAGATCCACCCTCTTTAACAGATTTTTAAGTGTTCAAGCTGTCTAATAAAGGGGGCAGCTGCCATCCCACTCCAGCTGATGGTTGCCACATGGATCCGTAACCCAGCATTGCTAGAAAGCCAGGCTTTTATAGGAAATCCTCTTGTTTTTTAAATATTAGCAACTAATTCAAAACTAAATACATTGCACAGCACCCACCATATCTGCTGATCAGATTAGGCCCATGAACAGCCTACTTGGCATGGAGTATGAGCACAAACCACATGAACAGTAGAGGAGGGAGGAGACCAATGATGAGTTAGAACCCTACAGATGGCAGAACGGGTGGGGGAGCAGGCTCCCTTCCAGACTTGAGAAGGCCTAGAAAGGGCCAGAGCCTTCAGCTAACACACAAAGCTAACACACTTGGTTGTTTACCATGTGCCCAGCTCTCAACTGCATTATCTCCATCTCACAACATCAGGAGGCGGATACTACTTTCATTATCCCCATTTTAGAGCTGAGGAAACAGAGCTTTCAGAGGTTGTGTTAGATCTGGGACTCAAAATGAGGTCTCTCTTCACTGTTTACATGTTACAGCCTCCCTGGGTTGCAACCCTTGACTCCAACAAAAGGTTTTAATTTGGGGTTCACAAGAATCTCTTTGCCTCATTTAACAGATAAGTCTCAAAGAGGGAAAGTTCTTTATAGAACAAAGCTAATAGAGGCAAAAAGAACAATAAAATAGAAAATCACCATTATGTAATCCCTGAGGAAGTAACAGATCAAAGCTGGGTAGATCATAATTTAAGTGAAGGGCTATCAGGAACTTGATAATAAATCAGATTAGGTTATTTCCTGATGTGATGTGAAAGCAAGCATTTCCTATGATGTATTCTTGCCAAAAATATTAGAACCTGAGTCTGAATGAGCCTCTACCAGTTTATAGGAAAAGTGGGCGATTAGTGGGACAGATATAATGACACCACAGGGATACAACAGAAATGTGAAAAATTTTAGAGCAAATGAGCTAGTTTTTCCAACAAATGGCAAAGAAAAGAAAAGGGAACTGTTAAGTATTTTTAGAGACTTAAGGGACATCAACAAAATGCAGGGTGTAAATCTTGTTTGGATCCTGATTCAGACACATCAACAAAAACACATTTTGTGGGAACAAAAGAAAATTGAACATCGTGGAATTCAGGGCATGCTACTCCAAAATATGGTACCTTGGCATATTGAATATTTCAAGCTGAAGGAATCTGAGAAATGGCAGATGCTGGAAGGACTCTCAGACCTTCTCCCATGAAAGAGGTCATGAGACCCTCATATTAGAAGTGTCCTCCCTACATCCAGAGGGACACAGATTTTGAAAAGGCCTTACTAAGTTCCCTCCAGTTTACTACACCTAGCTCATAACCTTATGTCCTATCACATTTTTCCATGACTTTCTACTTTTCATCAAACTTACTATAAAAATGCTCGGGTTTAACTGCTTCTTTGGGTCTTCATTTCCTTATGAAGGCTCCCATGTCATATAAAACTTATATTAAATAAATTTGTATGCTTTTATTAATCTGTCTTTTGTTATAGAGACCTAGCCAAGAACCTTAAAAGGATAGAAAGAAAAAGATACTCTTCCTCCCCTATCACATCTTCTATTAGATGATGTTAGATAATAATTAAGAATAACTATTAATTGTGTTAGCAATGATAATGGTGTTGTTACATATATTTTTAAGTCTTTACACTTTTTCTCAAAAACCAAATGGAAGAATTATTACATGAAAATTTCTATACCTCGGGCTTCCCTGGTGGCACAGTGGTTGAGAATCTGCCTGCCAGTGCAGGGGACACGGGTTCAAGCCCTGGTCTGGGAAGATCCCACATGCTGCAGAGCAACTAGGCCCATGAGCCACAACTACTGAGCCTGCACGTCTGGAGCCTGTGCTCCGCAAAAAGAGAGGCCGCAACAGTGAGAGGCCCGTGCACCGCGATGAAGAGTGTCCCCCACTCGCTGCAACTAGAGAAAGCCCTTGCACAGAAACGAAGACACAACACAGCCAAAAATAATAAATAAATAAATAAAATTTTAAAAAAAAAAAAAAAAAAAAAAATTTCTATACCTCAATATCAGTCTTTTGTGGAAAGGCAAGCTTTATTTCAAAGCAACCTGAAAAGAGCAGTCAGGGGGTCCACAACCACAAACTGGTAGGAGGGCACACACAGTTACATGTCCATTGGCAGGGTCTCAGTCGGGAGTCTCGCCCAATACCTGCTCAGTTTCCTCTTCACGTTGAAACTGAAAAGGTAGACTCGAAGATGCCCCTGATGTCCGAACACACTTATTTCAGGAAGGAGGACACCTGGAGTCAACTTAATTGAGCGAATCCGCTTAATTATTAAAATAAATATTCTCTCTGAGAATACGGTTAATTTAGTAGCTTTCTTTGCATTTTCACATTTTTAAAAGAGCTACAGAGGTTCCATTCACCTTCAAAGCAGGTGAGTTGGTAAGAATCCTACCTCTATTTCCTAGGAAATAGATTACATTTGATTACTCCTCACAACAGCCAACTGGAAGATTATTCCATTGCTTTTGAAGCACTGGTTGGGTTGGCGTCTGCGATGGTGGCCAAATAAATGAGATTTCTGTGTAACACATGCTGGTACCTATGGGTAAAAAACAGGTAAAAATTAGACGTTTGCTTTTACTGAACATGAACAAAAAACTGGAAAAGAATTTATCCACCCTAGTGAATGGCTCATCCACTGACTGGATCACTCAGTGTTGTCAACCTTCTTATTTAACATATTGAAGGAAAATACATCCAGAATCTTACCTGTTCTCACTTCTCACTTCCATAGCTACCTCTCTAGGCCAAGCCACTATGACTCCTTGCTTGGACTGCTGGAGCAGTCTCCTAACCTGTCTCCCTGCTCTACCTTTGCACCCCGACTCTAATTATCCGCATAGCAGCCTGAGTGATCACTGTACAATTTAGGTCAAGACCATGTCATACCTCTGTTCAAAACCCTCCAAAGGCTCCCATCTCATTACGAGTAAAGCTGAGCCCTCATGGCCTATAAGGCCCTATATGATCAGGGCCTCTAGTTACCCTCTCTGATCTCATCTCCTACCACTTTCCCTTTACTCACCGAGTTCTAGCCAGAGTGGCCTCCTTGCTATGACTTGGAGATATCCAGCACGCTCTAGCCTGGGGGCTTTTCCACCTGATACTCTCTCTGATTCACGTATCTGCATAGCTGCTCCCCCACCTAAGGCATCTACTCAAATGTCACATCAAAGATACCTGGTATAAAGTAGTGCTCTTCCCCCCACTTACCCTGCTTTATTCTTATTCGAAGTGCTTATTAGTATGTGCCTAATTATATGACTCTACAGTCTAGAAGGTAAGTTCCATGAAAGCAGAGCTGGTATCTGTTTTGGTACTGATTCCCCAATGGCTGAAACAGTGCCTGGTACTCAGTATTACTTATAAAATATCTTGAACAGGGAATTCCCTGGCAGTCCGGTTGTTAGGACTTGATGCTTCCGATGCAGGGGGCACGGTTTTGATCCCTGGTCGGGGAACTGAGATCCCGCATGCCACACAGCACCCCCCCCAAAAAAAAAATTTTCTTTGAACAAACTTAAAGAAGGGACAAGACACTTCCATGATCAATGCACACTTACTGTAATAGCGATTCTCAATCAGGGGGTAGAGCTCTCCACCTAGGAAGACAAATCAGGCTAGGGGGCAGGAAGCGTGGACGGTGCAGTGTGAAACGGTCCATTAGGAGATTTTGATAACTTTCTTACCCCATAGTTCGAGAATCACTGCACCAAATGGAGTGTTTTGCAACTATTTTCCATATAGAAAAATGAGAGTGTTTACTATAAACTGTACAAAAGCAAAGTACCAAATGCCAGTGTCCAATGTAAAGACTTACCCAAAGATGGATATCTCTACTATTCCACTGAGCTGTTCAGTGAGGGATTGTAGGTTACTTTTTTAGGGGGTGGGAAAAGCATGGCTTCGGTAACAATGAAATAAATTTTTTTGTTTCTGTAATAAATGGGGCATAATTCCTGGAACGACATTTAGAAGAGGTTGTTTTCTCTCATTTTGGCATACAGCTAGAGGGCACGTTAAATTACTGTGCCAAATTTACCTCTGTCTTAACCTGGAAATCTTTTATTGGTCTTTGCATGTGTTACAAGAAAAGTATGAGCCAGGGTTCCACGACCAGAAAGCAGCCACTGCTCTCATCATCTCCGGACACTAGTTTTCCGAGCGCTTTCCTCCCCATCCCTGTTGTCATCGGCTGACATGGCTTCACGTGAAGCAGTCTTTGTAATGAGCACAATTCAAGTTTTGAAGAGGGAGCCACGTCTGACTCCAAGCTTCACAGTGCACTGTCCGTATGGTCTTGGGCAGGTAACCTCTCTGAGCCTCATCTGCGATCAATCACTCAAGACTCCTAGTTCAGGTCAGCTGCTGTATTCCTATAGTTTGGCTTCCCCGCCAAATTCATTAGTCAGGGGAATAGGGAGGGGACTTACTGGACGCATTCATTCGCCCGGCCTTTGTTCTGATATTCCACAATACAGCGGATCAACTGATCATTCTCCTCGAGGAGCTGAAAGATCAAAGGGTCAGTGCAGCACGACATCAGGCCGGCGGGGACAACTGCCTCCTTCCCCGCCCCCGCCCCAATGCCGGGATTTCCAGCCCCTGCGCCTCTGCTGACTTCATTCCCATCTGACGGCAAGTCACCCTACGCACACCAGTCTCAGCTGCTCACTCCAGGAAGCTTCCGGCACCCGTAGCACTTCGGGATCTCTGCTAAGATCGCTCTGCCCGCATTAGCGCTCACCCGCTGGATCGTCTCCTGATTGACTTCCGCCTTGCCTCTCAGCCAGTCCGGCACGAAGGCCACCGACATCCCGGGAAGCCAGGTTGGAAGGCTGCCTCACGCTCGCAGACCCCTGCGCGTCTAGACCAGAGCTGACCAGCAGCCCTAGACGCCCTACAGCCGCAGCAAGGAGCCAAGATAAGTGGGCATACGCTCTCGACGTTGATTGGGCCCTCCCACCTAGCGGGCGGGGAACAGGCGGGACGTCATTTGTGATTGGGCGCGCAAGAGCGATTCTCAGCGTCCTCCTCCGACTCTGCCCCTGGGGCCTCGGTGCTGTTTGTGGATCTTTTGAGTTTGCGCAAGCTAGCCTCAGGGGCGGGGCCCGGCGTCAGCTCCTTGCCTTTTAGGCTTTGGGCCCTGCTTGTCTGCGGCAGCACCTTATCAAGGCTGAAACATGGATATCTGGCTCCAAATCCACACCTCTTTCAACACCACTCTGGTGCCTCCAGGCCTGCGTCTGGAGCCTGAACCCTGGGCATTGCCTTCTGCCAAGCCAAACCCTGCAGGGCCAAAGAAAACACCAGTGTCAGCTTTACCCTTTGCTGAGGGAGAAACTCGTCTATAGGTCTCTTTTTCCTTTGGGCCCTTTTTTTTTTTTTTTTTAAATCAGATTTACAACCCTAAAAAGCACTATTATTTTCCCCAATTTACAGATGAGAAAACAGAGATTAAGTTACTTGCCCAAGATCTCATAGCTACTAAGGGCAAAGTCAGTATCTGAACAGAAGCAGTCTGGCTTTAGAATTTTTGATCTCAACCACTGCCCTGCACAGCCTATGCACCATACTGCGGAGGTGGTTTGCTGCAAGATAAAGGGAGGAAGCTGGGCCAACCTCTTGGGCCACCCTGTTACTGCTGGCAACCACTAAAACTCTGAATTGGTTGTCTTCTCTTTTGTCTAGTCCATCCATGGTAAACATGGGAGCAAGGTTGGTTTTCTCTGTAGCAGAGAGTGAGAAGCAGCCACTTAATTTAGGAGGCAGATCTTGGAAGACTTTACTCCTCAAAAAGGGTATCAGGGCATTTCTGACTTCTAGAGCTTCATTTTCCTGAGTGGTGGCCCTGATCCAGAGCAGGCTCATCTGCTTTGCTGTGCTCTCCCTCCACAATTCCCTTATTCATCCCTCGGAGGAGGTTTCATGCCATTTAACAGAGGGCTAAGTGTGAGTGATAAATTAGCTGTGGATGTGTACAGTTTGAGGTGATGTCTAATGGAGATGTTGAAGTTTGTGGCTGGCTGTTTGGCTGGAACTCAGGGCCAAGGACTGGGCTGGTGATGTAAACTTTGAGAAGGATCACTTGTGGAAACTGGCATCATCCTTGAAGCTACTTTGTCACCCTTTCACATCCAATTCATTACCAAGTCCTGTTGATCTTGCTCCTATATTTCTCTGCAGCCTGCCCAGTTCTCTTCCTTTTTACCACTGTTCCTGCCTAAGCTCCAGCTTCATCCTCTCTTGCCCAGTCAACTGCACTGGCATCCCAGCTGGTCCTACCACAGTTTCCATGAGCCTTCTCCACTTTGATCTTAACATCAGCAGCCAAAGTGATTTTTACAAAATGCAAATCCAATCAGTTTTCCCCTGTCCCAAACTCTACCATGGCCTCCAAGAGCCTATATGGTCTTACCTCTTCTTCTCTCTCTAGTGGCTCTCACTCTACTCCTTTACTCTCTAAACTCTGAGTTTCAGCCAAAGCAGTCTTGAGGAAAAAAGCAGAGCTGGAGGAATCAGACTCCCTGACTTCAGACTATACTACAAAGCTACAGTAATCAAGACAATATGGTACTGGCACAAAAACAGAAATATAGATCAATGGAACAGGATAGAAAGCCCAGAGATAAACCCACACACCTATGGTCAACTAATCTATGAGAAAGGAGGCAAGGATATACAATGGAGAAAAGACAGCCTCTTCAATAAGTGGTGCTGGGAAAACTGGACAGCTACATGTAGAAGAATGAAATTAGAACACTCCCTGACACCATACACAAAAGTAAACTCAAAATGGATTAGAGACCTAAATGTAAGACCGGACACTATAAAACTCTTAGAGGAAAACATAGAGGAAAACATAGGAAGAACACTCTTTGACATAAATCACAGAAAGACCTTTTTGATCCACCTCCTAGAGTAATAGAAATAAAAATAAACAAATGGGACCTAATGAAACTGCAAAGCTTTTGCAAAGCAAAGGAAAATACAAACAAAACGAAAAGACAACCCTCAGAATGGGAGAAAATATTTGCAAACGAATCAACGGACAAAGGATTAATCTCCAAAATATATAAACAGCTCATGCAGCTCAATATTAAAAAAACAAACAACCCAATCCAAAAGTGGGCAGAAGACCTAAATAGACATTTCTCCAAAGAAGACATACAGATGGCCAAGAAGCACATGAAAATGTGCTCAACATCACTAATTATTAAAGAAATGCAAATCAAAACTACAATGAGGTATCACCTCACACCAGTTAGAATGGGCATCATCAGAAAATCTACAAACAACAAATGCTGGAGAGGGTGTGGAGAAAAGGGAACCCTCTTGCGCTGTTGGTGGGAATGTCAATTGATACAGCCACTATGGAGAACAGTATGGAGGTTCCTTAAAAAACTAAAAATAGAATTACCATATGACCCAGCAATTCCACTACTGGGCATCTACCCAGAGAAAACCATAATTCAAAAAGACCCATGCACCCCAATGTTCACTGCAGCACTATTTACAATAGCCAGGTCATGGAAGCAACCTAAATGTCCATCGACAGACGAATGGATAAAGAAGATGTGGTACATATATACAATGGAATATTACTCAGCCATAAAAAGGAACGAAATTGGCTCATTTGTAGAGACACAAATGTGGATGGATCTAGGGACTGTCATACAGAGTGAAGTAAGTCAGAAAAACAAATATCGTATATTAACGCATATATGTGGAACCTAGAAAAATGGTACAGATGAACCGGTTTGCAGGGCAGAAATAGAGACACAGATGTAGAGAACAAACGTATGGACACCAAGGGGGGAAAGCAGTGGGGGAGGGGAGGGGTGGTGGTGTGATGAATTGGGCGATTGGGATTGACATGTATACACTGATGTGTATAAAACTGATGACTAATAAGAACCTGCTGTATAAAAAATAACTAAAATAAAATTTAAATGATAAAAAATAAAAATAAACTCTGAGTTACTTCTCTTTCTTTCCTTTTTTTTTTTGGTGGGAAAATATACATAACACAAAACTTACCGTTTTAACCATTTGTAAATGTACAGTTCTGTGACATTTAGTACATTACATTGTTGTGCAACCACCATCTATTTCCAGAACTTTTTCATCTTTCCCAACTGAAATTATGTGCCTATTAAATAACTCCCCATCCACCTCCCCTCCCCACATCCCCATCCAGTGTTGGTTTTCATCCTTCAAGGAGCCCTGCTGCAGTCCGTACAGAGCTCTTTATACATCTCTCTGTCTGAAACACTCTTCTTCCCTTTGCCTAGTTGGCTACTACTCGTCTAATGTCACGTTCTCAGGGAAGCCTCCTTGAACCCCCAAGTCCAGACCAGAAGCTCCTGTAAATTCTTTCAAAACCCGTGCTCCTCTCGGAAGAGCACATAGCTCGGTTTGTATTTAAACACGTGCTGTGTATTGTGGGATGGGTGCTCTCACTCTGCTCTGCTAGCATAGTTTTTACTGTCAGGAGTTACTCGCTGTGTCCACAGTGCCCGGCATAGTGTCTGGTTCGCCCCAGGTGCTCAAAAATTGTTGAATGAATAAATGGATGAACACTCCTTCCCAATCTCCCTTCAGCCGGTCATCTGTCTGTGAGTACGTCCACCCTCAGACTGGGGTGTGTTCCTGGGGGTCGGACTTTGGCATCTCAGCCAGGCTGGCAGGTGGCTGTGCTCTTTGGTTTGCCTATCTCGGGCCTCCCGCCAAGCAGACAACTGAACCCACGCCCCGGGCGTGTCGCGGCGTCACGCGGAACTTCCCTGCCTCCACGTCAGTCCGTTCGCTAACCCGGCAGGAACTGAGCTTAAACTGCAAAACTTCTCTCACCTCCGGACGTGGGAATTACAGGCTTGGAACTCAAATCCCCGCGGGTGAGAGCCAACAGATGTGAGGAAAGTTGGGAGGCGCGCCCCACACACGCCCCATCTAAATTTGGGTCGCAGTCCTTTAAGAACCGCTTCATTCAAGACTCCGCCGGGACCAGGCAGTGTGGGCGCACCAGGATTGGTAGGTTCGGGTGTGGGTGTTGCTCAGCAGCAGCGAATGAGGGCGTGGGGTGGTGTTTCAAGACTCGCGCATGCGCGCCGCCGGTGACCTGGGCCAGGTTGGCCGGGTGGGCTAAGGTTGCGGAGAAGGCTGAGGGTGGCGCGGCGGCGCGGCGGGAGGGCGCCGACTCCCGGAGGCCGCTGGCGGGGCGAGGTGAGGGCTGGCGGGCGGAGGCGGGCGCTGCGGTCCGTTAGTCAAGAGCTGGCGGCGTCGGGTGTGGCGCAGGGCGGGCCTGGAGGTGGAGGGCCGTCCCTCCCCCCCGGGCCCGCCCAGCCATCAGGCCCGGCTTAGCTCTCCAGGGCTTCGTCTGGCGTCCCGAAGTCTTCTGCCCCCCCTTTTCTGCCGCCGGCTGCTCTCCTGACAACAGGACGATCCGAGGTGCGCGCCTGCCAGGAACCCTCAGCGGCCGACGCGGGTAGAGCGTTGCCCCCAGTGGGAGGAGACGGGGTGTGTCCAAATGATAGAGGGGATGATTGTTTCCTTAATTATCCACGAAACTCAGGTAGAGTGTTTTAATAGCAAACTTCCCTTCGCGTGCCAATATTATAAGACTTGGTTTACCAAATACTGGGTGCACTAGACCAGCTTTTCTGAATATCAGATGGTACTGTATATTTGTGTCTGTTACAGTATTACATCTAGACTTCCAGAGCCAGAAGGATTAAGCACCCCGGTGCTTAATTAGGTTTGTAGACATCAAAGCCACAAAAGAATATTCCCAGTGGTTAAAAGTAACTGGTGAAATTTGTGACACGGCCAGAAAAGTAATAAAGCTCAGACGGTGGATAGGGTAAATCTTCATTAAATTTTACAAAGAAGGGAATTAATTCTGATAGAGATAATTTTAGTAAAATAAAAATGTAAATAATTGAAAGTGCATTAATATTGCTAAACAGAATTAAATTGACATCACAGTTTGCTCTGGAAAATACATTTTAGACAATGTTGTTATAGCTCTAAGAGTTTGTGTTTACAACACAGAGGACATCTTGGGGTCCCAAAGCTTTTTATTCTTAAAAGGAGCCTCAGAGATCCACCGCATCCAAAGATGACCAATGCTCAGAGAGGAAAACCAACTTATCCAAAGTAATACAATGAGTAAGGAGAAGTTGTAACTAGTGTAATCCTAGGCCTTGGCTGCTTTTATTAACAGGTCTCTGATTAGTTCTAAGTATCAGTGCTCCAGGGGAAGGAATTGTTTTCGGGAAATAGAGTAGCTGTAATCCCAAAGATTGGATTTAGAGAAGCAGAGTGTAGTGGAAAGATCATAGGCTTTCCAGTATTTTGTGTAAGGAGGTTTTGGATGGAATACTGGCTCTACCACTTAAGCCTTGGAGCTACAGTTTTCCCTTCTGTCCAGTGTAGATTATGCCTACCCCATAGATGGTTATGAGCATTAAATAACATTATCAGTGTAAAAGTTCCTAGCACAGTGCCTGGCATATAATATTAGTTGCTATCAAATTCAGCCCCCCACTCTTCTTAGCTCCTAACAAGTGACAGACTTGACCTCTACCCTCTCCCTACCCCATCCCCAAGCAATGCGGAACCAAGGCACTTTCTTGAACTACAAATGAGGTAACCAGTTCTCAAGTCCTGTGACTGAAGGTGAATTCAGTAAGGGTGATATAACTCTATTTTGTCTTCCGTATTTTTTTAAAATTTATTTTATTTTTGGCTGCATTGGGTTTTCATTGCTGCGTGCGCGGGCTTTCTCTAGTTGCGGCGAGAGGGGGCTACTCTTTGTTGCAGTGCGCAGGCTTCTCATTGCGGGGGCTTCTCTTGTTGTGGAGCACGGGCTCTAGGCACACAGGCTCGGTAGTTGTGGCTCACGGGCTCTAGAGCGCAGGCTCAGTAGTTGCGGTGCACGGGCTTAGTTGCTCCGCGACGTGTGGGATCTTCCCGGACCAGGGCTCGAACCCGTGTCCCCTGCATTGGCAGGTGGATTCTTAACTACTGCACCACTAGGGAAGCCCCTGTCTTCTGTATTTTGGATTTGAGGAGTGGGTAATGCCTTATGGTGAACGCTTGTGTTTGAATATTTGTGTGCCAAGTGAAACTTGTTTTGCTTCTTTAAATTACTATTTTGCAAGGCCTGGTCATTTAATGCTGTTTGTCTCTCCCCCTTTCTTTCTGTCTCTCTTTTGGAGGGAGGAGAAGTGTATGTGGCAGGGGTTTGAGAGAGGGTTAAGGATACAGGGACGAAAAGAAACCAGTTGGAACAAGGGGGCCCTCCAGCTAAGCACAGTCTTTTGCTGGTAGAATATGGATAATCTCTGACATGAGCAGTTTATAAATAGATGCTGAGAAAAGGATTTAGGAAATGGCAGAGACAGACTAAAATATAATTTTGATAAAACCTAATAGTAACTAGAGTGCTATATTTGATTACTATTTCAGTTTCTATTTTTTAAAACTTCATTTATGTAAACCTCTTTTTTCCTCTGCAAGTAGAGATTTATCGTGGAAAAATTTTTATTAGTTTTAAAACTTAACTTTTTTTTTTATAAGTTTTATTAGTTTAAAAGTTTTTATATTGGGCTTCCCTGGCGGCGCAGTGGTTGAAAGTCCGCCTGCCGATGCGGGGGGCGCGGGTTCGTGCCCCGGTCCGGGAGGATCCCACGTGCCGCGGAGCGGCTGGGCCCGTGAGCCATGGCCTCTGAGCCTGCGCGTCCGGAGCCTGTGCTCCGCAACGGGAGAGGCCACGGCGGTGAGAGGCCCGCGTACCGCAATAACAACAACAGCAACAAAAAAGTTTTTATTGAGGGCTTCCTAATATGTGCCAGATGTAGTGCCAGGTTACAGGGTCTGCTGGCCTGTAGAAGGAGCTAGTAAAGACAGATTTGTATGTCGGGGTGAGCACTCTTAGGCTGCCTTTGTCCTTGTGTAATTGATAATATTTTTTCTGTAACTGTGACATGATTTTCCAGATTCATGCCACTGCTTTCCTGTTTTAAACTGAATACTGGTTATCTGCAAGTGGCTTTTATTTTAATGAATTCAGAGATTATAGTACCTACCAGTTTAGAAATGTCATGTAGGAATGGAGCTGCTCCCTATAAAACATGCCCTTCAACATGCATGCATAAATCATCAGAATTACAGTTAATTAGCATAAAAGATTATTGTTCTACTAGTAGAGATTTTTTAACATGACATTTAAATGTAAAAAGCAAGTATGAGCATACTTTAAGTGATATAAAAACCTTAAGGTAATACTTTTTTTTTCTGTTTTTACTTTAAAGTAATTATACTGACAGGAAATTGCAGAGATAGTACAGAGTATGATTGATAGACTGTATGATAATTGCAAGCTTAGTTTTAAAATAAAGTATTTTCCAGAGTGACTGTACCATTTTACAGTCCTACCAGTAACGTGTGAGAGATCCAGTTCTCACACATTATGTGCACATCAAATGCTGTGCATGCTTGCCAGCATTTGATATTATCACTTAAAAAATTTTTACCTGTGCCAATAAGTATGTAGTATTATCTCATTGTGATCTTAAGTTGCATTTCCCTTAATAGCTAGTGATGCTAAACATCTTTTCATGTTCTTATTTGCCATTTCTGTATCCTCTGGTGAAATGTCTGTTCATGTACTTTGTCCATTTTCTAACTGAATTATTTGTTTTATAACTGTTGAGTTTTGAGAGTTCTTTAAAAATTCTAGATATCTAGAGTCCTTTATTAGGTATGTGGTTTAAAAATATTTTTTTCCCAGTCTCTGGCTTTTCTTTTCATCCTCTTCACATGGACTTTTGCAGTGCAAAAGTTTTTAATTTTGATTAAATCCAATTTACTGTTTTTCTTTTATGGGTTATGCTTTTGGTGTCGTACATAAGAACTCTTGCCCTAAGTCCTGAAGATTTTCTCCTATGTTTTCTTCCACTTTTATAGTTTTACTTTTTACATTTAAATTTATGATATATTTTGACTATCATCAAAATAATGAGAGGTGTGAGATTAGGTCAAGATTCTCTTTTTTTCTTTCCTTCCTTCCTCCCTCCCTCCTTCCCTCCCTCCCTTCCTATAGATATATTCATTGCTCCAGCACCATTTGTTGAAAAGACTATCCTTCCTCCATTTAATTGCTTTTGCACCATTGTCAGAAATCATTTGGCTGTTCTTGTGTAGGTCTGTTTCTGGGTTCTGTATTCTGTTTCATTGATCTGTGTGTCTGTCCCCCTGCCAGTACTGCACAATCTTGATTACTGTAGCTATACAGTAAATCGTGAAATAGGATAGTGAGGTACAGTCCACTTTATTCTTTTTCAGAATTGTTTTAGCTATTTTAGCTTGTTTGCCCTTCCATATAAATTTTAGAATAATCTTATCTGTATCTACAAGCTATCTTGTTGATATTTTTACAGGAATTATATTGAACCTGTATATCACTTTGGGGGGAGAATTGGTATCTTTACTATGTTGAGTCTTCCAATTAATAACATGATATATTTCCTTATTTATTTAGGACTGCTTTGATTTCTTTCAGCAATGTTTTGTAGTTTTCAGCATACAAGTTCTATACATGTTTTGTTAGATTAACACCTAAGTATTGCATTAAAGAAAGTATAGCTTTGGGCTTCCCTGGTGGCGCAGTGGTTGGGAGTCCGCCTGCTGATGCAGGGGACACGGGTTCGTGCCCCGGTCCGGGAGGATCCCACATGCCGCGGAGCGGCTGGGCCCGTGAGCCATGGCCGCTGGGCCTGCGCGTCCGGAAGCCTGTGCTCCGCAACGGGAAAGGCCACAGCAGTGGCCTCCGCAAAAAAAAAAAAAAAAAGAAAGTATAGCTTTATTGAGATCATTTTTTTGGATGATTGTCAGTGGTATTTTATTTTTAATTTTGGTTTCTATATGTTTATTGCTGGTATGTAGAAAAAGAATTGATTTTGTATATCGGTCTTATATTCTGCAACCTTGCTGAGCTCATTCATTTTAGGAGTTCTTTTTTAGTAGGCTCTTTGGCATTTTCCATGTAGAAATTATGCCATCTGCAGATAGGAGTAGTTTTATTTCTTCCTTTTCTATCTCCTGAGACTTTTCACATTTTTACCCTTCAATGGAAAGTGTGGGGAGATGGGACAAATGGGCTGAGTATGGTCTGTTGCTTGGCAGACTGATTTTTCTTTTTGCCATCTCTTATTTTTATACCACTGCCGTTTCTTCATGTATAAAATGGGAATAATTATCCATTCATCCATTACAGATGGAAAAGCTATAAAATATAGCTTTATTGAGATCATTTTTTGGATTTTAAATGGTATTTTACTTTTAATTTTGTATTGGAGACAGTCCTTGGTGTGGATTTGAATCTGGGGAGATCAGAGAAGTGTAGATATAGGCGAAGAGTGCACAGAGGCACAAAGGTGAAGAGAGTAGTGTACATCCTGGGGCTCCTGTTTCCTATAGCTCGTGGTAATTGAGATGCCAAATTACATCCCTAGTGTTCTTTGGGAGAAAAGTCCACCAGTGCCCATACCTGTTAATATCCTATCCAGGTAGAGGATCTGACAACAGGATCTGTGAAACAGGATGTGTAGGTCCATAGGAAGATGCATCAAAGCTGTACTAGCCTCCTCACTAATCCCTGGTTGCAGGGCTGCCACATGCAGAGGTGCAATTTATGCCCTGTATGAGCACCTGCAGAGTTAATAGATGGGGGCTGACACCCACCTGCCAGCAGAACTGGTCCAGGGTTGTTTCTACCCCGAGAAGCACCTTGTTCTAATTTGCCACAGGTGCCATGAGGCCTCAGAATCTGTCTCCTTTTGTTGCTTAATGGTGGTCACATATCATGGCTCAAAATTTAGTATCTTATTTGCTAAGTGACTTCCTTTAGCCATCTGTAGGAACTCTCATCATTTTGAACACTGGCTCTGTGTCAGATGTGCAGAAATTCAGTAGGTCATACTATCCTCTCTGTTTTATTTTTGCCTTCTGCTTTCCTTGCTGCCAGCTTTAGGTTAAATGCTCAGAAGCCCTCCACTTCAGGTGAGGATATGGCAAGTAAACTGCTCAGCACCTACCTCGCTGGATGACCTGAAATGCCCAGGTCCCTGGACCCCACCCCTGCTGCATCAGTGTCAGGCTCTTCCTGGCCCTTTGGGACCATCTTGCTGCCTTTGTCCTGCTCCCCACTGTCGCTGCTGTTGCTCCTGAGCCGTTCTGGTCTCTGTTCCCTCATCCCAGTTGGTTTAATTCTGCAAATGGAGAGATTCATTAGAGAGAAGGAAAAGGAGGATTACAAGTGAAGAAGAGACAGGGAGGCTAATGGAGGGAGGACAATTGGGAGTGACATAGCAGTAGAGGGCAGGGAAATAAAAATAAAAGCCACATTCATATTTGTGGTGGGGGTGAGGGTGAAACAACCCAGAGTGAACATTTCAAGGGCGGTGGTGTCCCTGGCTCATCACCCGGCCCTCAGTAACAAGGTGACCTTCCTTCCTCAGGTGTCCTCATGACTTCTCTTGTGGACCATGTCCATGATCCTTTTTGCCTGTGTGGTTAGGGTGAGGGATGGACTGCCCCTCTCGGCCTCCACTGACTTTTACCACAGCCAAGATTTTCTGGAATGCAGGAGACGGCTCAAGACTTTAGCCTTGCGACTGGCCCAGTATCCAGGTCGAGGTTCTGCAGAAGGACTTGACTTCAGTATCCAGTAAGCAAGCATGTTCACTGCTCAAGAACATCTTAACCACGTGCAGAGGTGACATTATGCTGATGACGCTGTGTGTTAAAAGCAGGTCTCACATCAGACAGCAGTCCAAGGTTGTGTGTATTTACAATAGAATCAAAGGGACTCAAGCACTGTTGCCCCAACTCCCACCTTTCTTTCTTTCTTTTTTTTTTTTTTGTAATTAGTTTTTATTGGAGTATAGTTGCTTTACAATGTTCTGTTAGTTTCTGCCGTATGGCAAAGTGAATCAGCTGGCAGAGCGGCCGTGAGCATCGGCAGGCCCTGGTCACCCAGTCTTCATGCCTTTAGTTTGGTAGTTTTTTCTGCATTAGGTGCAGGGGTGGAAAAAAGGTGGGTCGAAAGGAGATACTAGATTAAAATGTCAGGAAAGGAAAAGGACGAGAGTGAGGAAGCCAAGAAAATCAGAGAAAAGACTTAGAGTTCCTGCCTTCAGTTTTTGCTTTTTTAATGTTTTCACTTTTTAAACACTTTAAAGTAAAAAATGTTTATATGACAGGAGCAGGGGAGTAAAAATGAGCATAAGTAGGTCCCTCTTCTCAAGGAACTCCAGGTCTAATAAGGGGACAAGAGAAATATATAACTGAATATTACACAGTGGGGCAAATGCTCCAGTGGGAGTAGGAATCAAGTGGTTACAATAATCATGGTAATAAGAGCTAATATGATTGTTTTCCATGGGCCAGGTACTACTCTAAGTGCTGTATGGGCTTATGAGGTAGATAATGGCATTATACCTGTTTTACAGAGGAGGAAACTAAGGTTAAACAGTTTCCCTAAGGTTAGACTGGTAGTAAATGGTAGAGCAAGGATTTGAATGGAGGCAACCAGGCACCAAGGTCTGCTCCTCATGTGTTATGTCATTTCTTATTCTAGGGGTTAGAGTAAAAAGCCGTTCTACGGAGGGATGGGGCAAGGCAGGTTTCGAAATCTCAAAATGGCTTGTTATAGATTTTACACCATTGTTTTCCAGAATTTAGGCCTTCACTTACCAAGTTCTTTCTGTTCCCCTTGAATAGTAAATTTTTGATTGACCTGAGAAGGTGGCATCCTTTCAGGGGAATTCAGTCTCAGAATTAGGAAAACAAAAGGAAAAGTCCAGGCCTAGTTCCAGGCTTGGTGGTACTGTCAGGCAAGAAGGGTTGTGGCCCGAGGAGGGATCCAGATGGTAGGCATATGAAGCTGTCACCCTGTGGTATGGGCTCTGGGTGCTCAGGGGCAAAAGCTGAGCTGCATCTGCCCACATCTACAGCTCCTTTCTCTGGGTGCCTGAAACCACCTTCCTCGGTGGTCCCTTCCTCATTATGCTGTGATTATCTAACAGTCTATGCGAACTTTGTGCTGTACCTCCAATAGGAAACCTTTTCTCTGTTCAAACAAACAAACAAACAAACAAAAAACCTGTCACTTCAAATGAAGTTCTGGGTACTTCAGTCATTTTTTGAAAAGTAGAATGTAAAATGTTCTACTCATTTGTATTTTGACTTAAATATTCACCATTATTTTCACAGAGGAAACTAAGGCTTTTGTTCCTTACAGGTGAGCGGTCCCATAGCTTAGTTAATAATAAATAAGTTAGAGTGACCACACATTGTCAGTGGCAAATGCCACTATACATTTTAGAGGAAGTATAAGAAAGGCACGGTCCCCGGCAGGTCTAGCTGAAGAGATGCAACAGACAGCTCCAGGACTATTCAAGGCCCAGCAGATCCAGAGTTGAGGCAACGTGGCGTCTGGGTACGGGATGCGAGTACATGGGTCTGTTCCCTGGTAACGCAGATGACGCTCTTTTGTTCCAGCTTTTCTTCTTCGAGGGATGTAGCCTGCATGGCTATCTGCTCCCGCCAGTGTCCAGCAGCCATGGCCTTCTGCTTCCTGGAGACCCTGTGGTGGGAATTCACAGCTTCCTATGACACCACCTGCATTGGCCTAGCCTCCAGGCCATACGCCTTTCTCGAATTTGGTTCGTAATCCTCGTCCGTATTGATTGTTCTCTCTCGCGGCATTGTATGTGTAGAATTTCCAGTTTGGATTTGGCTTTGACCGTCAGGGAAAACCACTGGAGGTGCTGTAACATGTCACTGGAGAGCATTATACCATGAGATTTCACAGCAGTGGAAGGGGCCTGCAAGCTTGGAGGTTCAACACTGGCTTTTCATCTCTCCAGAGCCTGGGGCAGGGTGGAAGAATGGCAAAACCTGTACCTTATTCTGGAGCAGGCGTCAGCAAACTGTGGGCCAAGGGTCTGTTTTTTGTAAATAAAGTGGAACATAGCCATGCTTATTCTATTACTAACGGATTGTCTGTGGCTGCTTTTGCCCTTCCCTAGCAGAGGTGAGCTGTTGTGGTGGACCATCTAGGGCCCATAAGCCTAAAACATTGACTCTCTGGCACTCTGAGAACACTGCCAACCCCTGCTCTAGAGCAGCACTGCTCAAGGGTGGTACCCGTTCTTCCAGCATGAGGGACGTACAGAGAGTGAGAATAAGAGTTTAGAAATTCTTACAGTAATTTGGCACTCCTGCGATATTTTCAGTTGTATTTTATCAAAGTATCTGTCTGCAAGCATTTGGAAATAAGAAAAAACTGGTCCTTCATGCAGAGGTTTGAGGAGCACAGCTCTGCAAGAGGATACTCCTTTTCTAGGCCCTGCCAGAGAGGCCGTGTGGAGGCTCAGGGCTTTGGAACACAGCAGGGTAATTATAGCGTATGCTATCAGTGTCTGTCAGCCGTGATTCAAGTCATTTTGAGATCCTGGAGAGAGGTGGGAGTAGAGGTGGGAGTTGGGGGACATTCTCTGGTCTCAGTGTAAATCGCCATGGTCCCTGTGATGCTCTTGAACGAGGGGCTGGCAGCATTTGGTACTCAGGGTCAGGTGCAGGGCTGGCACCTGGAAGTGTTGCCACTTACGCTTCTGGCAGCTACTGCTCACATCCCCTCATGTGGTCTCTGGCTGCCCCATCAGTGATGGGGCCAGCACCCCCTTTTGGTGCTGGGGAGCTCCCTGATACTTGGGCCCCAGCCTGTTAGCCCTGTGACATAGACCATGAGTTCTGCCTGAGTCTCCCTGTGAGGATTGGTCCAGCTGCCACTCTCAGCCCCACTTCTTCTTCTGAAGGGCGTGCTGTCCCCAGTCGGACCACAGCTGCAGCATCCCTGGGCTGTTATTTGATGGGCAGCTGGTAGACCTGTGTTCTTCTCTCCCCTCATCTCTGCATGCACCTTCCTTCCAAAGCGGTGGGCTTGGTCTCACAGGAGACCCCTCCCTGCATCACGTTTATTCATTACTGAGTGCGAGTAGAATATAAGTAAAAGTGTGTGGATATTAGAATTATACATGATTTTTTAGAATTATACATGATTTTGCTTTGCCAATATGTATGAAACTTCACTTCAAATACTTATTAAAACTTGGTAATGGTTAACACTAATGTAAATAAAAGAATTAAAACCAGTACCTTTCAGATATATAATCCTAGTTTGCACAACATACAATGATTTGTAATTTTTTTTCACACACCTTTTCTTGGCATAATCGGGTCAAAAATGACTGTCCCCATTTTTCTATCTTAGAAATATTCTATGAATGGCCCAGGATTGTACTAGGAGTCGCGGCTGAGCTAAGACTCAAGCCTCTGTCCCCTGACTCCCTTGCCACTGAGGTTCTGATGGACAGACTGTCACGTTTTAATTATCCTGCTTTGAAGAGATTGATGAGACCAGTCCTGATACGTACTAATCATTTGACCTTCGTGTGTAGTTGACACTCTTCAGAGTCTGGCTGACTTACTAGCTTGCTTAGAAGTGTAAACTTCATTGTGTACGTATCGTCTTATAACATCCATTGTAATGAAGACACTCAGCTTGGGTCGCTCTCTTTTCGCAGACAGCGTCATTCAGAAAGTGAAGTGGCATTTTAACTATGTAAATTCCACCCAGATGGAGAGCAGCTTAGAAAAGATTCAGGAGGAACTCAAGTTCCAACCTCCAGTGGTTCTCACTCTGGAGGACACAGATGTGGCTAACGGGGTGATGAACGGTCACCCACAGATGCACTTGGAGCCTGGTAAGTGGCCTGCTGCTCTCTGATGTTGATAAAGGTGAGGTGAGATTGTGTATTTCAAATGCACAGTGACTGTTTTAGTAGGAAGTAGGAAGGTGTTTGGGTGGGGGGCAGTGTATAAAATACCTGGGGAGAAACATGGGCTGATCTTGTTCCAGGTGGCTGTTATAAAAAACTCAACTGTTGTGACCAGTGAGTCGATCTGAAGAGAGGCAACTCTTTTGACGAAATTCAGGAGAAGAGTGACTTGGCAGGTTGTTTTCTTAACCAGGGTGAAATCTGCACATTTAAATGGTGTAAAGGAGATTTTCACTCTCTTTTGCTGGAAGTCACGTATTGAACTGTACAGATTTGTACATTCTCTCTCTCTCTCTCTCTCTCTCTCTCTCTCCTTTTTTCCTTTGACAGTGAGTCCTTATCTCATCATTTAGTAAAACATTGGGAATCTCCACTGAGAAACCCCCGCTCCTTGATGGAGGGAGTGGAGGGCTGTGGGGTTGAGAGTGGGCAGGGGCCAGAGCCAGGGCTTCTAGACCTCTCACTCTCTGCTTCTCTGTGGGACCCGGGAACATCCCTCTATCCCTTTGGATTTCCGAGTCCTTATCTGAGGAATGAGGTGTTACTGAACGTGCTCACTGTGCCCTGGCGTCCGAGACTTAGTCTGGCATTAACACCAGTAGCCGCTCAATGCCTAGCACATAGCAAAGCATGCTTTTTTGCATTCCTTGTTTACAGTTACACACAATTACACCAATCTTTAATTAAAGTGGATATTTACATTCTAAGAATTCTGTAACGGTATAAAAGCTGAATCCTTCCCTGGAAGACAGAACCATCTACATTATAACAGTCTAATTACTTTGTTTTAACAGTTTTATACTAAATTCATTGCTTGAATTTTGAAAGTGGTGTATTAAAAATGTTCACAGTTTTGGCTTAACTTTGTGTTTCGATTTGATCTGTTTCAACCAGTAAATTCCTGGATTGGCTCTTATGCCATTCAATAAGTTGTTGTAATTTATATTGGGATTGAACTTAACTTTTGTGGAAGGAAGACTGGGTAATCAGACCCCAAGCTTATCCTTTGCCATGTCTGTAGACAGGGTAACTTTGTGATGTATGTTTTGTCTTATAAACACTTAGACAAGAGGAGAAAATCCAGAAAGTGTCAACTTGCCTGTCTTTCTAGGATGTTTTACTCTGGGTTGACTCCCCCTATTGTTCCAAGGCTAGAACCTTTACAGGTAGCATGCTCCGTTCTAACAGAAACTTTGAATTGCTCAGTGGAAACTCTAACACACTAACAGTAGGCATCAGTTGGGTTGTGGCTAGATATCTGTGTGTGTGTATGCGTATGTGGGAAATGTAAGGACAAGAAAGGATGATTTAAAAGGAGTGTAGCAAGGGAATGGGTGGGACACTATTTAATTGGGTGAACCAGAATCCGTTTCAGCAGTTATCTTTAAAGAGAGAATGATCATTTGTCCTAATTAGAGTTCCAGAAACAGCTTGTAGCTGGAATAATCAATGTTTCCCTCCTCTTCCCAATAATTTTGGAATTAAAAAAATTGCATTTGCTGTGAATTGCTCCAGAAGCACACATGACACTGAATGTTTTGCTTGTCAGGAAAAGAATGGAACATTTTACGAGCTGAGGGTTGAGCTGTGTAATAGAAATGCTTCAGGATTTGACAACCAATTTACAGCTAAAGCCATAAACTGCTTTAAATCAGGATTTCTCAACCTTAGCCCTATTGACATTTTGTACTGGAAGTTCTTTGTTGTGAGGGCTGTCTTGTGCATTGTAGGATGTCTAGAAACATTCATGGCCTCCACCCACGACAGATGCCAGTAGCAACCTGTCCCCAGTGGGGACAACCCAAAATGTCTCTAGACACTGATTGAGGGGCCATATCGTCTCTGGTTGGGAACCACTGTTTTAAATAGAAAGGAAATGAAGCACTTGAAAAATCTGTGCTTGCTCAGAGAAGTGGCCTCTTTCTAGAAGAAATTCACCTTGGATTCCCAGATCCATTCTGTCCTTCATTTCTTGCCTTTTCCCCCTCTAACTACAGCTGCTTTTTAAATTAATATGTTTGCAGTTGTGTGTTTAACATAATAAACCTTTTCATTAGCAGAAGTCTAGTTAATGTCTTTATTTTTCCTTCATATGGAAATTATTTTTACTAGACACTTCTTGTTTTTCATTGTGAAGCTCCTAATTTCCGAATGGAACCTGTGACAGCCCTGGGCATCCTCTCTCTTATTCTCAACATCATGTGCGCTGCTCTGAACCTCATTCGTGGAATTCACCTCGCAGAACATTCTTTACAGGTAACCTTTTATATACATTTTAAATCAAAAGACACATGATGGAAGAAACGGATGGGGATACATATTATTTATAAGGCTATTATGTACTACATTTTAAAATTTGAAGTAAAATTTTTACTTCTCGTTTCATTCTTTGTCGTAAGTTGAACAAATATGAAACTTGCTCTTTTGTATCTGTTTTCCTAAGACGCCAAAGGGCCCTGCTAGGATACTGGTGAGAAATGGAAAACTTGCTTCAAGGACATCAGGCCACCCCATGGCCCTGGGGACTCCAGGAGTCACTGCGGGGGCTGGATTGTTCATCCAGGGCAGAAGTTTGATGCTCAGACTTTAACGTTCAGGCCCTCTTTTCCCCTGGGGAGAGTGGCCTCTTAGTCTGATTGATATCATTCAGATACCAGCTTCCTGGTGTCTTTGTCAAAAGAACTGTGTCACCGCGAAGTTGATTCGCCAGCCTGCTCATCTCAAAGCACGTTTCTACTTCAGTGCTTTTTAAATATTATTTTTAAATTTTGAAGTATTTCCAACACTTTAAGAAAAAGTATGGAACCACTATGAACATGAACAGATAGATGTTACTATTAAAAACAGAGCCGTAACGCTCGCACCGAGGCACGTGGTGGCTAAAGTCTGAAGCGCAGCTTAGACTGAATCTCAGGTGGCTTATGGGGACCAAAGCGTTTGGGGAACAGCAGCAGGCCTGGGCCGTGAGTGGTGGCTGGCTGTTTCCTCACCCCGTCTTTGGCCAATGTGTGGTGTGGTTCCCACTCCTATTGTTTATGACGACTCATAAGCAGATGCTTACCGAGTGTCTGTATGCACTAGAACAGGTGTTCGTTGGTCAAGACATAGTCCCTGAGTTGGGGCACATAGCAGAGTGCGACAGCATCGCTAAGGAGGTGGCAGTACCGGGGGGTGGGAGGAGTTGGGGAAAGCTTAGCACTTACAGATGAGTTGGATTTTGAGAGGTGGCAGGGCTGGGGGTGGGGGCATTCCAGGTTGAGGGCTCAGCACACATGCATGGGGACTGGAGGGCGCTTGGTGGGTCCAGGCCATTCGGAAGGATTTCATGTCACCCCCGGTGCGATGCGTGAACGAGGGCTTATTTCTCACCCAGCCGGGGGTTTTGTACTGTCAACCATACCAGACCCAATGCGGAGTGAAGCACTTCACGTCATAATGTTTCGTGTCCTCTAAATATTCCTTTCCTTGTGTTCCTCATATTTATCTTAGGTTGCACATGAAGAAATTGGAAATATTCTGGCTTTTCTTATTCCTTTTGTAGCCTGCATTTTCCAGGTGGGTGAAACGTTGATGTTTTAGTGAGTGGGTTAAACCCATGGCCTTATTTTGTTCTGTTGGAACCATCAGCAAGTTTCTAGATCCTGCTTTTGTTCCACCAAGGCCTTGGTTCAAATGATGGATATAGTACCAGCCCTTAGTGGAAGGACCCTCCACCCATCCTGCCCAATCCTCTCATTTTACAGAGAAAAGACCTTTGGGCTCAGAAAGGGAAAGCCACTTGCTCTAGGCCTCAGGGCCTTTGACAGTGCAGGACAGAAACCAGGAATTTGAACTGGGCTCCCAAGAAGCGAGGGGTGAGACTGCAGTGGGGATTGGGTTGGGCCTGACCAGTATGAGGCAGGGTCCTGCCTCGTGCTTATTGTCGGGGCGTCCAAGTACAGAAATGTCCTTCTGCAGAAGTGACACCTATGTATATGTGTTTCTTTCTTTTTTTTTTTTGTAAGCAGATATTCATTTTTATTTATTTATTTATTTATTTATTTATGGCTGTGTTGGGTCTTCGTTTCTGTGTGAGGGCTTTCTCCAGTTGCGGCAAGCGGGGGCCTCTCACTATCGTGGCCTCTCTTGTTGCGGAGCACAGACTCCAGAAGCGCAGGCTCAGTAGTTGTGGCTCACAGGCCTAGTTGCTCCGCGGCATGTGGAATCTTCCCAGACCAGGGCTCGAACCCATGTCCCCTGCATCGGCAGGCAGATTCTCAACCACTGCGCCACCAGGGAAGCCCCCGTATATGTGTTTCTCTTCAAACACAGGACTAGGTTAAAAAATTTGTTGTTTTTAATAGTAATACCATCTGAGTCAAATCTGTCCTTAGGAAATGAAACAAAAATTATAACACTAACTAGAGCCCTTTGATTATTAGTCATTTTCAAATAAGCTGTGTACTTAAGGAGTCGGGTGAAAAGGAGCTTTTGAATCCCCTATAGGCAGAGTTAATTCTAGTAAAAACCTGACTCTCTTTCCTCATCCTCCACACGGACTAGGATTTTAGTACCTTTTCTGCATGATTAAGCTTCTTCTTCTTCTTCTTTTTTTTTTTTTTTAATGAAAAGTTCTGTTCTCAGGGCACTTCCTCTCTCTCCTGAATACATCCTAGATGGCCTGTTTTTAAGAATTACCTGATTGTGCAAAAAGAAATTTTCATCCCAAGATTGAAAATGCACTCATTTTTTTAGAAAACAAGTCTCTAAGACCTTGGGTGTTGCCAGGAGAAGTTTCCTGGAGCCTGCATTTCAGGGCTGCAGGTATCTTACAGTTCCACCTTCATCCCCTCAACTGCAGTCTTACTTGGATAGCTCTTTCGATGGGGAACTCTCTCCTTTCCCCCCTGAGCTTTAGTCAGATTGCTCTGTGTTTTGAGAATGTGTCTTTTTAAAAAAAACAAACCCAACATTGAACCAAAACATGATTTCCACCTTTTGCAGAACAAGAATGGCCTCTTTCTGTGTGATAGCCCTACAGGAAGTATCAGTCACTCTCCCTGCTATAAGACCTTTCCCTGAGTCGGATATGCTTTTTTTTTTTTTTTCTCTCTCTTTTTTTTTTTTAGGCTGTGCCACTTGGCCTGTGGGATCTTAGTTCCCCGACCAGGGATCAAACCCGTGCACCCTGCAGTGGAAGCATGGAGTCTTAACCACTGGACCGCCAGGGAAGTCCTCAGAGATGCTTTTGAAGACATAACGAGGAGGCTGTCTAGGGAACAGTGGTCCCCTATGCAGTTGTAACTCAGGAAACGCTAAAATAGTAAAAGCACAGCTTCTCTCAGCAGCTTTCTCACCTGTTATGACCCCCCTGAAGGAAAATTCATTAGGAGGCCTGTCGATCTTGTTTGGGTGTTCTGGCCTGGCTGTCTACCCCTGACCTGCATCTCTTCTTTCTCTGCAGCACAGCCTGGGCATTTCTGTCTGTCTTTCTTGAATTCTTTCAAGAGTGCTATGTTCTAGTTCCTCCTGTGATGTCTTTTTCACTTTTCTTACCTCTTCCAAATCCCCACTTTCATCCAGTGATTAACAGCAGCTGATCCAGTGAGTCCAAGCTCCATTGTAACGAATTCAGTTTAATAAGCTAATGTGTATGAAGTGACACTGCGTGGCAGGTACGATAAGTGAATCTTGTGTCTGACCTTGGCCATTTCATTATCTCTGATGGGACTTCCTCTTCTGGTGTCATTTCAGTGTTACTTGTACCTGTTCTACAGTCCAGCCAGGACCATGAAGGTGGTGCTGATGCTGCTCTTTATTTGCCTGGGCAACATGTACCTGCATGGGCTGAGGAACCTCTGGCAAATCCTATTCCACATAGGAGTGGCTTTCCTGTCTTCATATCAGATACTGACGAGGCAGCTTCAGGAGAAGCAGTCTGACTGTGGAGTGTGAGGATGACATCAGGGGATGAACGGATCCTTTGATTTTCTTGTGAGGGTCATCGGTGTTCCCCTGTTTGCTTCTCGACTTCACCTTAAGTTTCCACCCTTGAAGTTCCTTTCAACCAAAGCGGATTGATCCCGGGAGCTGAGATTTTTCATAGGTGCAGTTGAAAGCATAAGATTGCTTGACATCCAGTCCCAGGTTTGTGCCAAGGGTTACTGCAGAATCTCCAGTTCAGCACGATTACTTCGGACGGCAGAATCTGGGGGCTTATTCAGAAATAGCATTATTGGAAGACCAAAATGGAATCATTTTGGTCTTTTAAATTGAGTGATGCAATAAACCACTAGATTCAATAACAGTAGTTTAAAGTAATTGGCAGTTGTCTCTGAGGAACCACTTAAAAATCTGTATCAGCTTTTCAGTCTAAATGTGACTTGGTTAGGTTTTTTTTTTGAGGGCCAGTAGAGGGTGAATTAAAAACTTTAAAAAGTGGTTTATAACTATAAGATGGATAAATTTTGTTTACAGTTTTTGATCACTTAGGTCTGATATGATACCTTTAGAATATTTAAATATATTTTAGATATAAGTTGAACATGGCTTCCCTTAGGGTAAGGACAAACTTAAGCTGACAAAGTGGTTAAGAAAGCTGAATTCATTAAATTTATGTATAACCTTTTATGGTAGTGGGATTGTAGGGATACAGAAATGTTTTGTATTTATTTGCAGGGTATATCTGAATATTTTTAAAATTGAGTAACCAGTGCTACCGGATCATTAACTTATAAGCATGAGCAGAAATGAGAATATCAGGATTCCTTGCAGTTGGCCACAAACTAGAGTAGGCGATGCACATATTCATATGGTGGCACTTTGCGGTCCCAGGTGTGAGAGGCTGCTGTCATCAGCCTTTTAGGTGGCAGCCGAATACCTGTCACTTGAATCGTGTCATTTGATACTTGACCCTGTGTACTTGTTCTCAGAAGATCTCCCAAATCAATTACTCCTCCGCACCTTTCCCAATCATCTTAATTAGATTAAGGGCCTCATTTTTTTATGAACAAGAGTTAAGTGTGTGTTAACTTTTTTAGAGCTTTATAGCATATAAAGCTTTATAATTAACCCAGTGCTCTGAAAAGTTACTTTTCTTTCTCTCATTGTCAAAATATTGACTGATTATAGTTTTCCAAAATTTAGATCTGCATATGATCCCTGAGGTCTCTAGAAATTTCAGACTGGGTTGCCCAGTACCATTCAGGAGGCCGTTTTGGAAGTTTGCCCTTTAGATTGTTCTTCATAGAAGTCCGGAATCTGAATAGCTCCACCACAATTGCATAGAATACTTTGGGTTGAATTATGTGATCTTGATAAATTAAAAAATCCTATTTTGGTAGTTTTTAATAGTCAAAAACTGTTGCAAGAGTTATTGAGCAGATGGGGAAAGCAAGGATGTCATTTTAGGGAATTCAGTCGTACTTGGTCATTACTGGTAGTGAATTGTTATTGAGCTACCTTAGTGTCACTTAAAACTCCATGTGACTACGAACTGTGTTGGGAAAATGTTGCCATGGTAATTTTATTTTCTTATGATAGAATTTCCTATTCTTAATCAAACAAAGTATCTGGATATGAAAGTTATGCTGGCAACATCCTCAGATGTAAACTTCAGAGTTGTCTCTCCACTGATTTTGCATCTGCATAATTTTCTGGATAGCCAGCAGGTGAATTTTCAGGCTTTCCGGGACATAATTTTGAACAGATGGTGAAATAGGATGGGAAGCTAAGGAGGGGAGACAAATCTTTTTATATTAGAAGCACACACACAAAGCTTTAAACGTCGATTAGAACAACTTACCCAATGTATTGTTTTCTTTTTGAGCCCGTGTGCTATTGGTGTTGCCATGTAGCCCTGTACCCCGGATGGTCTGGGGTCTGAGCCTGTGATCCACATTCAGCAAGTAGTGAAGAACATTCCTTGCAGAGGAGACCCTCCTGGTGAATGCCTCCTGCCCTAGTGGAGAGGTTATTCACATCTGGTTGAATGTGGTCTGAATCCGTTAACATCTATATGGGGTTTGAGATTTACTTTTGCAAACAAAAGGGAAAAGATGCAGTCGACAAACGCTGCAAAATAATGACCACATAAACATTCTTTAACTGAAATCCAGCTAAGAGCAGTCTCAGTTCACTGGTGGTTGAAGCTAATGATAGGAAAGGCGTTCTGGAGGTTTTAGCCAGGGGAAATCCCAGGCTCAGGGGTTGACTTGGTTCAGGCCTGGAGTTTTGTAGCCCTTTGTCATCCTTGATGCTAGAAAGTTGACCCCCACGTTACCCTCGCTCCGCCACACACCTTTGTTTTAGCTGTTCTAGCACCTTGATTTTCTCAGACGTTAACCGATCTCACAGGGCTGGATCCTGGGATAGATGAAATAATGTTGGAAAAACCTTAAAAGTGCCTTCGGGTGTCAGACGTGGCAAGATCTCGAGCATCAGTGTGTGAGGTGTCCCATATGCTGTATCTGGGTGGGGATGTGGCTCAATGCTCTCTGGCAGGGGCCAAGTCCAAGGGTTCCCATTCCGCAAGTGTGCTAGTGTGGGAACCACGTAGACACTGCTTTTCTTTCCCCAGGCTAGCCTGACTGTGATGAGGACCATGCCTGGGTTTCCTGTCCTGCGGGGGGACAGTCAGGGGTATATTTGGGTGGGATTTCCTCTCGGTACTAGAGGCCTCACTGCCCTCAGCGGGAGGAAGGTGACCATAGGCTCCTGGTTTTGCTTCTCCAGCTGACACCCCTTTTATCTGTGAATCAAGGCCCAATGTTTTAAAGCTCTTCAAGGGGTAGGAAAAGAGGGTATTGGAAGGAGAGCTGAAATTAGAACGTTTAGCATCATGGCTGCCAACCCCCCTTGAGCTCCCTGTTCTTCTCCTAGGTGCCCCTGTTCAGGTCTCCCCTGCCTCTTTTCACTTCTGCCCCCCACATTCCAGTCCTGGGGACCGAGGCTGAAACTGGAATCTCTGGAGGGACGGGGAAGCCACCTTTCATCGTAACGGATAGGGCGGGTTCAGGAGCTTCAGAGAGGGCACGGATGGCCCCAAAGCTCAGCCCTCTTCCCTGTGCACCCGCAGGCACACAGCAAGGCTGGCTGTTTGGGGCACAGGAAGCAGGGCTAGACGAGAAGCGGAGCTGGGGGCTGGCTGGCTGCTGGAAGACAGCAGCTGCCCTTGGCGCATGGGGGCTGCACCACACCTTCATCCAGGGCTGCCGTCTGTTGTTCCTTGAAGGAGTTGGCTGCTCATAACATGAAGGACAGGTGGCCCTCAGAAAACAGTGCAGTGCAGGTGAGGACCGGCGGGGAGGGAGGGTTTACGGTGACCAGATGAGCGCACAGACCCCTGCCCCGACGTGGCTCACATTCCAAGTGATTCTACACAGAGTCCTGCCCAGGCACAGGGAGACCCTGTCCGTGCACTGTGAGCGTTAATAATGGTGGAAGAAGAGAGAGTAGATGTGCCCTGGAGAGCTGAGGTGGGAAGGAGCGCCCTGTCAGCTGGCCCGAGGCCTGGAGGTCGGCGTGGCGCTCCCACTTGGTCTGGCCCTGCAGTGGTCGAGTCACAGCCCGCCGGCCGGGCATTCTCTGGAAAACGGTGGTAACGTCGGCCGGCTCCCCTGGCGAGCTGTCAGGAGGGTAGAAGCAGTAGTGGAGGGGATGCTGGGTGAATCCATTGTTCATGTGCAGGAGGAGAAAGGCTTTGAGTTGGTTCACCCAGCATGCGGAGGTTCTGCAGGCTTCAGGCAGCGCAGCTCAGCACAGCTGTGTCTTCTGGCCTTTACAAAAAAAGACCTCATGCTTTCATTCCAGACAGGTAGCAGCCTCTCTTCCTCCCCCTGGACCTGCCTCCTGCCTTCCAGGCACGGAGCCTTTGGTTCCAGTGGCATTGGGTCCTCCAGGATCCAGGGAGGTTGGTTCTGTTGGTTGCACCAAACCTCATGGCCTGTCTGACCCAAACGAGGAGAGCTGTTTCTCCCTTCTGGGAGCAGTGATGTCAAACTTCTGTTGCTGGGGAAACGTCATTGGCAGAGAACCTGTGGAAAAAGACTTGTCAGTAAAATCTGGGAATGGCCGGATATGGAAACATCTGCCCATGTGTACCGATGGCAGAGCTGTTGCCCACAAGCGCCTTTCATTTAGGGTAAAATTATCAAATCCAGTCTATTCCTCTGCCCTGTGCTTGGTACATATGACCTTCTTTAACCCTTATACTTACATGATCCTGGGTTGTTCCAGAAGTGTTATTTAATGAATGATTCATGTAATGTGGCCCCCAGGATTCCATTTTGTTTAGTGGACTTTTTTACTAAGAGCATTAAAGATTGAGGCTGATATAGCCAGAGAAAACCATTTCCTTCATGTATTCATTTTGAATGCTTGCCGCCTGTGTTATACAAGCTTCTCACTGTTTTCATGTAATAACAAAGATCTATTTTGAGTAAACGATGAGTGCGTTTTAACAAACTTTCACACGGTAGTAAAGCCTAAACTTGTGTTAATGTTGGTAACAAATGTCGTATAGCCGTTTATATACTATGTATATATAAATTAAACGAGGTGGCTTCAGAGGTGGGAGGAGAGTAAATCTAAGGTGCTTATCAACTTGTGTGTCTGTATTTGTGTGAAAAATCCTGAGTTATGGGTCCATTTTCCTAGATGAGGTGATGTGGGCCTGGCATAATGGAGGGGGGTGTGTTGAGGAGAAGTGAAATTCAGGTCCTCTTGTCCAGTGAGGTCTAGACAGGTGCAAGGGCTCAAATAGTCTTCAGCACTAATCCCCAGACTCTGGAATGCAATCATGGGTCCAGGAAAGACCTTGGAAAAACCAAAATAGCAATTGCCGCACTGCCCTGGGGGCTGGAGGGGGCTGCCTTCCATGCAGGCTCTGCTTCTGCCCAGCCCTTTCCCTGCTCTGGGCTCTGAGCTCCAGTCTGTATGTACTCTGAGGGTGATGTCGTTTTCATTTCCCAGGACGAGCTCTGTCAGGAAATGGCCACCAGGGGGCACATCATCAGGTTCCCAGCTCAGGGGACTGCGCTGTTTTGCAGGATCGTTCCTTTAGCAGCTGATGAAATTCCCAGAAGGGAAACAAATACACCAGCCTCTCCTGACGGCACTGAGTTCTGGGATTCGGGCGTTGGCAGACCCTTTAGATACCACTGGGTTCACCCCCCTTGTTGCTCAGGTGAGGAAGTTGAGGTCTGTCCTAGGTAGCCAATGACAGTGTAGCCCAGAGCTCTGTCCTCTGAGCTGAGACCAAGGTGCCATCAGCGCACTTGGCAGCGCCCACAAAGAATACAAAGGGATCTTGGCCCATGAAGGATGCCCTTTCTGTGCCAGGAAGGCTGGGTGCCGGGAAGGCTGATGAATTGCCTTCCTTTTTCTTGGACTCTAACCCCCTGTGGGGTCAGGTAGCAGAAGTGATGCCTGACAGCTGCCCGGCATCCTTGGGCAGTGCCAGCGGAGGAGTGAAGGGGCTCAGAGAGAAGGGGCCCACCTGAGTGCGCCTGGCTCTGCTGAGTCAGCTCTAAGACATCCCCGGATCGAATGTGCAGGGCAAAAACTATTAAGTTCACTGAAGAGCACGACGGAGAGTATCTGTGACCTGGGGTGAAAAAGTACTCCTTAAACAAAACGTCATAGGCACGACCCTTAAGGCAAAATGATTGATGAATCTGATGACATACAAATAAGGATTTCATGGGCAAAGTTAAAAGAATGAGAGAAGATATTTACAATGTCTGAAACCAGTAAGGGATTAATATACAAGCAATTCCTTAAATCAGCAAGAAAGACGAGCAGCTTCAATAGAAAAATGAGCAATTTGCAGAAGAGAAAACCCAGAAAGCTCATAAGCATGTGAAGATGTTTAAAATCATTAGAAATACAGAGAAATACATATTAAAATAACCATAAGACATCACCTTACGCCTGTGAGTTTGGCAAATTTAGAAACCTGGATGGGACCAAGTATTGGAGCAAGTATGGGGATCTAGGACTTCGTGTGCAGCAAATCTGAAGAGCAGTGCTACTGTTATGAGCTGAACTGTGTTCTCCCCAAATTCATATGTCCAAGTCCTAACCCCCGGTACCTCAAAACGTGACTGTATTTGGAGATAGGGTCTTTAAAGAGGTAATTAAGGTTAAAAAAATAAGAGGTCATGTGGGTGGGCCCAAATCCAGTATGACTGCTGTCTTATAAGAAGAGATTAGGACACAGACCCATACAGAGGGGAGACCATAGGAAAGTACAGGGAGAAGGTGGCCGTCTGCAAGCCAAGAAGAAACCAGCCCCACTGACACCTTGATCTCCAACTGCTAGCCTTCAGAAATGTGAGAAAATAAATTTCTGTTCTTTCATCCACCCAGCCTGTGGTACTTTGTTCTGGTGGCCCTAGCAAACTAATACAGCTGCCTACTGAAATTTAGTGCACACACACCTTATGATGTGGAAACTTCACTTCTGGTTCTATGTCCCTGGGAACTTCTTACACAGATCTTTAAGGGGTCACGTATGAAGAGAAATGTTTACTGAAGCATCATGTGTGTTGGCAGAACGCAATCTGTGTGTCTACCGTGGACAGATGAAGCGTGTAGGCTCACCATGGAGCAGCAGGCAGGAGGCAGAAGTACCAGATTTAGACGTAGTCACGTGGATGCATCTTCAAAACATAGAACTAAAAAAAAAAAAAAAATAGAACTGAGTGAAAAATAATATTTATACGATTAGAAACGTGCACAAAATGATCTAATATTTCCTAAGAATGTACTCCAAAGGATACATGTCAAATTCATTTGCATGGTTGCCTACGAGGGGCCAGGAGTTTGCGAGTTACATATAGAGATAATAAGGAATCTTTTTTAAAAAAAGGAGGGCTGGCTAAAGTCAGCAGTCAGGTCTGAGAGCCCTGGGAGAACCAGGGGGCCCGCGTTGCCCCTGGAGAGCTTTCCCCGGGTGTCCAGCACTGACTGGACTTGACGAGGCCGACAGGGCCTGCCCCTGGGGGCCCCCAAAGCCCCACGAGCTGCCAGAGTGTTTCGGCCTCCAGAGCTTCTTCAGTGGGCGACCAGGGTGGGGGGAGCTCGAGCCGAGTGCAGGGGCTGTAATGGGCAGAGAGGGTTTCTGGGACCCATGGGGGCAGGGGCGGAGGGGAGAAAGCAGGGAGGAGGGGGCTCCAGAGAGGGAATGCAGGCGGGTGGGAGCTGACTCTGGCCACCGGGACTCTCTCCTTCTCAGATTCAGGCCGTCTGACCAGTAGTTTCCTGACGGAGACTTTCTCCCACACGAGGCACTCAGCGGAAAGGCTCTCATGTGGACAAAAAGCACACAGCTGCTGGGGGACAGAGGTGCACCCGAGGCAAGATTTTCCTCCCACCCCAGAAATAGCCTGTTCTGGCCACGGAGCCAGCAGTGTGAGCCCGCGGAAGTGAAGCAGGAGGGGCCCGGGGCTGGGAGGCGTGAAGGTGACCAGGACCGTGACTGCCCTGAGGGGTGGTTCCAGACACATTTTCTGAGGCCGCAGGGATGAGAGCAAGGGCCATAAACAAGGAACACAGGGCCAGAGTGAGGATGCACTTTCTCACAGAGCTGTCCAACAGCGCTTGGAGAGGTCGTGAGCACTCCGCCGTGAAGGTGTGCAAGCAGATGTGAGATGAATCAGGACAGCACTTGGAACGTGCTGTCCCCATCTCAAAGACATCGTCTTGTCCGGGATGCTGGTGTCCGCGGGGACATCTGCCTGTCTCCCGGAGTGCCTCCTGTTGTGTCCATCCCAAGGGGTGAGCCAGACGCCAGTTGCAGGAAACAGCCTGTGCCAGCTCCCGTTTGAAGAGCAAATATTAGTCTTTTCAAGAGCTGCCTGTTCTCTGTCACTTGGCACGGAGGACACTGAACCGGGGGTGGGAGGGTGCCACTTGGCCCCCCTGCCCAGATGTAGTCTCTGGACCCGGGTCACTGCCACAATGTAGCTTCAAGGAACAACCCTCCCCATGTCCAGGCAGGTATCCCCTCCTGGTGAGTGTGTGAGCAGTGGGCACCGGAGTCCCTACACAGGGGAGGCTTGGATGGCACTGAGGCCCCAAGTCCCAGTACATGGCTCTCACATACTGTCCGGGCTGCTGCTGCAGAGGCAGGGGAGTGGACCTTTTGACCTAGACCTCAAGGTCTCTGGGCCCCAGTTCTGACATATATATATATATATATATATATGGTTTAAAAACCCTCTGATTACCAGGAAAGGGGAATGACCTGTTGCTGCTCCACTATCTCCCTTTGGGGAGACCTCTTCCAACTACTCCAACCAACAGAGCACCCCTTAGCCAAGCCCCGCTTCTTGCCTTGTTTCTTCTGTAATTTTCCTCATTTATTATCGACTCCTCCATTGGAGGCTTAGCTCAGTGAGCACAGGGCCTCTGCCTTGGTCGCTGCTTGGAACTGAGCACACAGGACGTGCTCAGTAACTGTTTGCTGAGTGAATATGATGACGTTAATACTTTGAAAAATATTAAACCGATAGCATTCTCATCCGCTAAGCCCTGAAATCGTATTCCTCTGAAGCCCCTCCACCAGGATGACCGGGGCAGGGTGGGGTGGGTGAAGCCATCTCAAGGAGAAGGATGGAGGGGGAGGGAGGAAAGCCCAGCCTCAGCTGGTGAGTGGTGGAAACAGGAGGGGGTGCATCTCTCAGACGCGTGTCCTGGTATCATCCTCTGGGATGAAATCTTGAAGGGAAAGAAACTGAAAGCTGAGGATAGAGGGGGCGTGTGTCCCCCTCTTCATTGGAAGACGGCCCCCCAGGCAGCCTGTAGCCCTCAGGTGGCCCTGCTGGGTAAAAATGGTGGAGCTGCAGGTTTGATGGCAAGAAGGTCAGAGCAGGTGTCTTCTCTCCCTCCACTCCCAGAGGCCTGGAAGAGTGCAGAAGTTCCTGTGTGCTCCACAGGGCACGGGGAAGGTGGCTGAGCTGGGACTGGTGGGCCTGTCTCAGCACTGCCAGGGCCAGTGCTGAGGTGAGAGCAACTCATCCCCAGGGCTGGAGGCACGGCTGAGCCTGGAGGGGTCTGAGGAGCCAGAGTGAGCTGAGGTGGACCCCAGCCAAGAGAACAGACTGTGAGCTCACGAGCTATGAGCACCCGGCCACCGTGAGTGTCCATCGAGACCCTAGCCCTAGCTTTGTGCCAGGCTCCGTTCTCTCCTGCCAGGAGGCCACCCGTATTGGACCCTGCCTTGTATCCTCTGCACCTACCTTTGCCAGCTCCTGCAGGAATAACGGGACCATCCCCCATCTCAGCTGTCCCACACAGCTCTCGCTTTCTGCCCCAGTCCCTCTGGAGTCACAGTGTAGGATGCCTGCAGGGACCCGCTTACACTCAGGCCTGCCCAGCCTGGCAGTGTGAGGGCATTGCCGTGGGCAGACCTTGAGCTGTGTTCTGCCCACTCCTCCGAGGGTCCCAGTGGGACACGAGTTCCTGTTGGCAAAGCAGTGACCAGTTCAATAAACCACCTTGATTTTGGCTTTCTCTGTTTCCCTGCATCACACTTCTCTGTTCCTTGTTCCTGTTTCCTGGTCACAGGTTCTGCTTTCTCGAGACTCAGGCTACAAGGCCACCTGAGCCTCTGTGCTAGAAATTGCCTGTTGGCACTCGGCTTCCCTCTCTGTCCCCTTCCATATTTCCCTGTGTTGCAGGGGCTAGAAGACTAAAGACTACATTTCCCAGGCCGCCACGCTGCTGGAGATCTAGATGCAACTTGGAGGGAAGTGCTGTGGGAGAGAGTTGGAAGGCAGAAGGGAGATGGAGGCCTTTCTACCTGCAGTGCGGTGGCTGCCGGATAGGATCTGGCAGACGTGAATTTTTGCAGCAGCAGGACACTTTGTTCCTTCTACTTCCTTGTCACCAGTTTAATGGATGTGCAAGTAGGACACTGACAATAATTTCCTACAAGGTGGCAGCTGGGGTGGTGTGACCATGAAGCTAGGTGTGCCCTATTTTCCATTTCTCCAAATCTTTATACATTTAATTTCCTCCTTTTTTTTTTTGACATCTGTATTGGAGTGTAATTGCTTTACAGTGTTGTGTTAGTTTCTGCTGTGTAACAAAGTGAATCAGCTATATGTATACATATATCCCCATATCCCCTCCCTCTTGCATCTCCTTCCCACCCTCCCTATCCCGCCCCTCTAGGTGGTCACAAAGCACTGAGCTGATCTCCCTGTGCTATTTTACATTTGGTAGTGTATATATGTCCATGTCACTCCCTCACTTCGTCCCAGCTTAACCTTCCCCCTCCCCGTGTCCTCAAGTCCATTCTCTTCGTCTGTGTCTTTATTCCTGTCCTGCCCCTAGGTTCTTCAGAACCACTTTTTTTTTTTTTAGATTCCATATATATGCATTAGCATACGGTATTTGTTTTTCCCTTTCTGACTTACTTCACTCTGTATGACAGACTCTAGGTCCATCCACCTCACTACAAACTACTCAATTTCGTTTCTTTTTATAGCTGAGTAATATTCCATTGTATATATGTGCCACATCTTCTTTGTCCATTCGTCTGTCGATGGACACTTAGGTTGCTTCCATGTCCTGGCTATTGTAAACAGAGCTGCAATGAACATTGTGGTTAACTTCCTACTTTAAATCTCTTGCTGCACGAAAGACCTAGAGTGTTTTCTCTTTCCTGCACTGACCCATGAGTGGTTTGGCTTCCTCTCCTCCACCATCTACCACACCACCAGGCTCAGATGGAGGGAATCTGAAAGGCCACACACTTACCCAAAGAGACGTCCAAAAGGAGATTGAGAGTCAGACTCTGTTGGTTGCCTACTCAACAACCATCTTCCCTTATCAGATCAATCCTTCTTCCTTATCAGATCAACTTCCTTCTGGAAACCTGGTCTCTCTTGCAGCCAGGGCTTGGGTGTGTGACCTAGTCCTGGCCAAGGAGCCTGAAGAGAGTATGTAGAAGGTGGGTTCTGGGATAACTTATCTTCCTGACAAAAGGAGACACACAGGAAGCACTCTCCTCCCTGCCAGTGGATGGAGTTCTGTGAGAACATGATGCTTGGGGCAGAAACCGTTGTCTTGCCATCAAGAGGGGATAAGTCTGCGGATGAAAGTCAACACATTGAGGATGGCAGAGTGGACAGGTAGAAAACATCTAGGTCTACGCTGACATTATTGAACCTCTGAATTAACCCTGGAGCCCTCTACTTCTCGTGGGCATCACCCTGGCAGGACCCCTTCCCTCTGGGCCACATAGAGGCTTGTTCAGAGCTCTTCAAAGTTTTTTCCATGCCAGTATGCTGGGCTCAGAGATGCTGGGATCTCTGGGAGCTGGGCTGGGACTAGGATGAGGCAAGTGAGGCACTGTCCTTGGATGCAAAATTTAAGGAGGGTCACAAAAAAACTCAGTAGGTGATCAGGATAAACGATATTTTACAGGACCTTAATTCCCTGACCAAGGATCGAACCTGTGCCCCCTGCAGTGGAAGCACAGAGTGACTCCTAACCACTGCACCACCAGGGAATTCCCTTTAATGTAATTTTTTTTTTTTTTTTTTTTTTTTTTTTTTTTTGCGGTACGCGGGCCTCTCACTGTTGTAGCCTCTCCCGTTGCGGAGCACAGGCTCTGGACGCGCAGGCTCAGCGGCCGTGGCTCACGGGTCCAGCCGCTCCGCGGCATGTGGGATCTTCCCGGACCAGGGCACGAACCCGTGTCCCCTGCATCGGCAGGCGGACTCAACCACTGCGCCACCAGGGAAGCCCTAATGTAATATTAAAAAAAATCAAAACTAATGTAAAAATACAAAGCGAACAAAAAATGTCAAGATTTTTAAATAAAGACGATGAAGATTCAGGGTCACCAACCAGGTCTGCTTCTATGTTTGTACACAGGGCAATCCCACTGAATGTCACCTATGACAGTTCATACAATGAGGCAGGGTTCTGGGACTGTGAGAACTGGGTTCAAGGCCGGGCTGTACCAGTGACTTGCTGGTGATCCCAAGCAAGTCCCTTCCCTCCTCTCTGGACATAATCTGCCCTGCATGGGGGCTGGGGCGTTGCCCGGATGGCCTCCGGACACATCCTCCTCATCCCCATGACCTGCAGAGGTTCCTGTCCCTCTTTCTGGGAGGCTGTGTCCTGGCTATTAATATCTCAGCCATCCCTGGCCTGATCAGGGTGTTTAATGACTGCCAGCTGTGGCTCCGGCCGCTCCCCCGGGAGAAACAAGAGCAGTTGCTGTTCCCACATGGGAGTGGGGGGTGGGCCTTGCTCATTAAAACAGGCCCTGGGCAAGTGATGGGAACTGAGGCGCTGAGACCAACTCTTCACCCCACCTGGCCTTGCCCACCAGATGGAGGTGCCTGGGGATACAGACTCCCTGCACCCCAGCCCCCCGGGGGCTTCCCTGGTCTCCCTAAGTCCTGCCTGGGCCCTGTTGCCTTAGGTCAGTTTCCAACAGCCTTGGGACTTCTCCCCAGATGCCCCACAGACATTAGCTTCAGCATGTCCCAAACCAGGTCCTCCCTCACCTGGATGAAGGACTGGCAGCTTTTCCTCGGCCTGTCCCTGGGGCCCTTCTCAGCAGCCCGAGTGGCCTGCCCCAAACCCACCCTCATCCCCTTGGCCTCATTTAAGAAGTGCCCCCCCTGAATTCCTACTGCAAAGGGCTCCCTGCACCTGCTCACCTCGATTCAGGTGTCCCTGGCATCTCTCATGCTCCCTTGGGATCTGGAGACTACTGCCTCGTCCACAGGGACTACCCCTCACCTGGGAAGATGGTCCCTATCCATTCTACTGGCAGACTGGTCACCCTCCTTGGGCAGCCTGTCCCCTGGAGTGGCAGGAGTCATCCACATGGTGGCCGTCTGTGCCGGGATGGTGAGGGGCTACTTGTCTTTGTCTTCCCAGAGGGAGCCCACCTGAGCTAACTGGGCTTTTCCCTCAGGGTCTGGGGTCAGCCTTGGTCAAGGGTCAGGGCCTAGCCTGTGGGGAACCAGAGGTCTGGTTCCACCTAGGGTCACAGCTGGGCCTGGGATGGGAATCACTGCCACAAGGTCAGGGGCCTTGATCTGAGGGCCAGGTCCTGGGTCTCCTTAATCCCACACTGTCCCTGGGGTCATCAATCCTGTGTCCTCACCACTTCCTCTCTCTTGTATCTCGTTCTGAAATGGAGCTGAGGAGAGAGGCCTGGCCTCTGTGTCAACTGGCTTCCTGGGGAGGGGCCTGCACTCAGGTATTTGGGTCCTTGAGGCCAACTTTGGTGATGTCCTTGAGGCACCACCAGGTGGCAATAGAGATGAGCTTGTTGGTCTGTGCCGGGAAAGGCAGGAGAGGGACCGGGGAGCCGGAGGAAAGAGGGGCTGCAGGAGAAATTCTGCTCGTGGTCACCCCTATTCCACTCCCACTCCATAGGCAGCCTGGGATGTCTGCTCATGACCTCTGCTGGCCAGGGACAGTGTCTCACCTTCTCCCCATTCCTGAATGCTCCACTACCAGGGGGTGGGGGGTAGGGAGCTTTTCACCTCCTGCTACCTCCGAGGTGGGGCCCCACTTCTGTCCTCCCTTTTTTGTCCCTGTCTTGGGTCTCTCTCTGTTTTATTCACTTTTTACCCTCCTGGCTGATAACTCTGCTTCTCCCCAGACATGACTCACTAATGGTGGGATTTCAGGCACGGTGGTGGATGGGCCAGGTCCGGGCAGGACGTTTGCAGGAAGTGGAAGCCAGGGAGGTCAGCTGGAGCAGTGGCTTTGAATCCATTCCTTGCTGACCAGCGTCATCTTCTTCGCCCTGCAGCCTCTGTGTCTAAACCTTTCTATTCGCCGTATTGTCTCTGTTTTGGTGACATCTGCTGTGTCCTCTATCTGCCACTTCTTGGCAACATGGTCATCTCACACCCCTTGTGCTCCTTGGGTGCAGGTACCCCCATGTAACCACTTTTGGGACCGAGGGCAGCTCTGTCAGCTGTTCTGTATAGATCCAAGAATAGAACTACCTCTTCTTGGTTGGATTCAGGGGGTGGGAGGACACTACGAGGACGGGGTATAACTTCACCACACTCAGAGGAGAGAGGGTACCACTCAACAAGATGTGAGTCGAAAGCCCTTAGAACTGTGTGTTCCTCACATGGAAGCCAGAGGGGTGGTGGCATCTGGCTTCAGTGATGTCTTGGACCAGCCCTCCTTCGAAGGGGGGTGGGGGGCATGGCCGCAAGTTGGAAGCTGGTCACCATTTTAGCCCACATGGGAACACCAACCACCAGGAAAACCAAGCGAATCCAACCCAGTGTTTATTGTTGCACAAGCCTGTTTGCAGTCCCAAGGGGATCTTCTGGCTGGGGCGTGAGTAGGAAGCCGTGTGGCCACAGGGGTGCAGGGCGGACACAGGACATGACAGCCACCAGGCTCTTGTCCAGATGATACATGGGCTGGGGGACTCCTCAGCCACACTCCAGGGAGGGTGGGGTGGGAATGGGGTTTGCGGGATGCTGGTAATAACAATATCAGTGGTGATACAAATAAGCAAGAGGATCCAGCTTGCTACAATATATAAAAGGCAGCAGTTAAGAGTCTGTGCTTTCACTTTCCCATCAGCAAGATCTGAGTTCAAATGCTGTCTGTGTGACAAGATGAGGTACCTGCTCTCTGTGAGGCTCAGTGTGAAATAGGGACAGTAGTGCCCGCCTTGCTGGGTTGCTCTGAGGATTAAGGGGCCCAAGAGTGTACATCTCTGAGCCCGGTCCTAATAGTTGGCACATAGGTAGGCAGCCAGGGGCAGCTCCCACAGCCCATAAGGATTGGTAGGGCTGGTGGCAAGCTCCTGGAATTGTTCCAGCCATCCCGGGATGACTCCACTTTAGCGGGGACTATGAAGATAGCTGCCCTCCCCAAACCAAAACCCCTCGTTTACAACCGCATCTGCCGGAGGCAGAAAAACTCATTCACCTTGAAGAGCTGGCAGCTATGAGGAGGCACTGAGGGAGGGGACCGCGTCTTTGGAGAGATGCCTGAATGGTGATGCTTAACCCAAAGGAAACTGACAGCAATGGTGGAACTTCAGGCACTGTCGAGGTGGCGGTGGCAGGTGACCTTTTGGGGCAAGACCTTTGTCCCCTCAGATCACACCACGTTCCCACATGCATTGTCAGGGGATAGGCGGTGGCCCTCCTCGGATGGGTAGCGAGATCTACCAGGCCGTGGAATCAGGTGAGAGTATGCAGATTTCTTGCCCTTAATGGGCGGAGGGGGCCTTTGGGGGCGGAGTCTGAAGACTGAGCTCCACCCCTCATCTTCTAGGTAGGAGCTCCCAGCTCTCCCCCATCGTCTCCCCAGGCAGGCGCAAGGGCAGCGTTCTCCAGGGGCTTCCGGACAGTAAGCTGGGGGTGCCCGGGCAGCCTCCGAGCTCAGGGCTGGGGCTGACCTCGCCTGGCAGGCCTTTGCCCCCGCTGCCGCGCGGGGTGGGGGGCGGTGCCGACGGGAGGGGCCGCCCACCCGCCTGGGCACCTGGAGGTCAGACCAGGGAGACTTCGGCCTGGAAGCTGGAGGAGCGGCGCGCGCCGGGGCTGACGCGGGTCAGCATGGAGACCTGAGTGCTGCACGTGGCCCCGCTGCTGCCTGCTGACGGGTGCTGGTATTTGGGTTTCCAACCCAAGACGCCCTGCAGATGCCAGCGCCGCCACTTCCGCCGCAGCTCTGCCTGCACCTGGGAGAAAGGAGCGTGGTCAGGCGCGCCCCTATGAAGCCTCCTGCACTGCTGATTGGGCTGCACTCTGTCTAGGGTGCGTGAGCCAGACAGTCAGAGCCTCTTGCGGAATCTAACTTGAAAGGTCAGATGCTACCTTGGGCAGTGCAGAGATGGGACCTCCTAGGGGCCAGGTCAAATCAAGGGATTGGAGTGGGGGGAGGTGGGAGCCAGAGAGGATCAGAGAATTCAGTCCAGGGAGGGAGAGGTATGCGGCCCAATCTCCTGATCCCTGCCCTCCAGCTCACCTTGAGCTCATCCCAATAGACTTCTGTGCTTTGGAACCAGGGCTCCACAGTGACTCAGGCTTCACTTCACCCATCCCCACTCCCTCTGCACACAGCCACCTAACACAGCACTTCTAAAACTCTGATGTGCACATGAATCCCCTGAGGTTTTTCTTAAAAGCAGATTCAGAGTCAGCAGGCTTGGGGTGGGCCCAGAAATCAGCATTTTAAACAAGGTCCTAGGTGCCGTCACTGATTTACTAGTCTGAGGACCACACTTGGAGTAGCAAGGTTTGACCCTTCTTTGCTCTGCACATATCGCGTCAGGGGTTTTGGACCTTGGGGCTACCAGAGTTCTGTTCCTTGACCCCCAAGGTCTGAGAGGGGCTTACCTCGCCATTGAGGAAGCAGTAGAGGACGGCCACCACAAAACCCTGGGGAGGAAGGGAGCGGGAGAGGTGAGGTAGACAGACCCTGGGAGCCCCAAACCCTGCCCCACCCCTGTGTTCCCCTGGTGAAACAAAGGGCCAAACATACAGTTGGTGCTTAATAAATACTTATTGCAATGAAAAGATTGGAATCTAGCGGCAAGAGGCCAAGGCCCCAGGTGAATTTCCTCCCTTAAAGCCCAGAGAAGAACGCAGCCTTAAGTCCACGGTTCATACCTGGAAAGACCCCACGACGAGCTCAAAGACCATTTTCACTTCAGCCTTAAAGTTGTCGGGGAAGAAGGCAAACATGATGTAGTGCACTCCAAACAGGGGGATCAGCAGAAGGGTGGACTTGGCCAGCCTCCTGGGGGCAGGGGAGGGGCAGGCAGTGGGTATGGGTGTCCACACGTGTACGCACATGGGGCACAGAAGACAGGGACAACGACCAGGATGTGTGAGGATAGACTGTTGGTTCCCATCAGTCCTACGTCCACAACTGTTTCTGTTCCATATCTGCAGTGCCTATGACCTCATGCCCCCTGGGCCTCCTCCCTTGGACTTCCAGCTCCAGTGAAGGAGGGACAAAGGGAAGAGGTGGCTTTACCAGAACCCAAGGACAGGGCTACCTGGAAAGGGTTGGGATCCTATGGTAGAGGCCTTACTAAGTAAGTGCTGAAATCAACATGGGAGGAGTCCCTTGAATGAGATGGAAACATGTTGAGAAGGGCTCCTTGAATGAGCTTGAGCCACAAAGAGGTATAGTCAATGCCAGAGACCATGCCAGAGTCAATGCTGGAGCCGTGAAAGAAAGTCTGTAGCTTCCCTCCCCTTTGTCCTATCTCATACCCTTCCAGAGCCGCCCACTGGTCAAATTTAACTACAAGTAAGTGGATAAAGAATCCTAGCAAATGCAGCTTGCAAGGAGAGAGAAACCCCTCTATTTCCACTTTCTGGAGGAGAGAGTATAAAGGAGGGCCAGGGCTCAATCCCAAGGATTACATGTAATAGTGGTATTTCAGGCTCTATGGCCGCTAACGGGGATAGTTTCTTGAGCAACAGGAGATCCTGGTTTCCCTTCCCCTGGTCTCAGTTTCTCCAATCTGTACAATGGGGCGAGTGTATGCTCAACATGGTCAAGGAATAGAAGTGGGGCCCACTGTAAACTCGGAAGCGCTTTGGGTACTATGAAATACAGTGCATTTATGAGAGACCAATACTCTACTGGAAATGAGGGCATTTGGGAAGGAAGTTTTTGTAATTGGGTTGCTGACCACAGATGCCCAAGGCCACTTGGGAGGATGATGGGTGCTCAAGTTTGTGTCTGTCACCAAGGATGACTCAGGGTCAACTAGTAAAGCCCTGTCTTTGGCTTCTCTGCTGTATCTACTTCCCCAGGAGTTGCCAACTTTTCTGGGATTACACCCCTTTCTGCCCCAGCCCCGCTCCCCACACCAATACACGCACCCCCAGAATTCTCTGGAGGACCAGCTCCTCCTTCACTGGCCATGTGTGCTCAGCAGGGTCCACAGTCCCTCTAAATGACTTGCCCCTTTCCCATGGAGCAGAGCTCATCCTGTTTCAGGCCTCCCAGCCACTTGACCTCATAGCTGGTCCAGGCAGTGTGAACCCACAGTTCCCTGGCTGGGAGAGGTCTGAGGGGTGAGTGTGTCTCTGCCTCTGTGTCTCCTGCCTTGGCAGTCAGTCCAGGTAGGCCTAGCCCTGGGCCCGAGGACCCACAGCAAACTGGGGGCAGAGGAGCTGGCCTTGCCCCTCCACTCCTTCCTGGACCTGGTCCCCAGACACGCCAGTGTCCCGAGCACTGCCCACCGCTCCTTGACTGCAAACCTATCCCACGCGCCTGAGGCTGACAGATGGAGGCTTTCTTTAAATTGGAGGCTTGTGGGGAGGTGGAGAGTGGGAGCTGACAGTCCCTCCGCGGGGAGCTCCATCTCCTACTCCCCCCACCCCTTCTGCCTGCCAACAGCTGTTCAGTTTCCACCTCACCCACGTGGACCTGGTGATGACCGGTTCTCTTTGCCTCAGATTCAAGCCCTTTCGAGCAGTTGTATGTTGGGTAAAACAAGGCCCCACAGGGAAAGTAGAGGAGGAGGGGGCACAGGCCTGATGTGCTACCCCCTGGCAGACTGCAGACCCCTACAGGGCCTTCCTTTCTCAGACTGGAAGGGAAGCTCCACCTCCACACCCCGAGGGAGGAAGTGCTGTCACACCAGGAACGGGAGTCTTAGTCTCATCAGAGAGAATCACAGGATTCCAGAATAGAATCCTAAATCCAGCAGCTCGTGACATTCTAGCCAGGAATCTTAGAACCACAGCACAGATTCCCCAGAGAGAAGCCAGGCCCAGGAGAACATTCTGGATCACAGGACTGGAAGGCCGCTGTAGGACACCCCAGGTTTGTCTTGTCTGTGCAGTGCTGATAATCTCCTGTTCCCATCTGTGGGCACACAGACCGACTCACCCTCCCACAGCCACCCCATTCATGTTTCTGTAGCTCTGTCTTCCAGCCTTGTTGTCCTCATGAAAGCCTGCCTGTTCTCCAGGCCCCCCAAGCACAGGAAGAGCCCTCACACCTTTCCAAGCAAGGATATGACCCCTGTCCCACAGACACCGTGCCCTCCCCCTGCCAAGACGATGTGCTCCCAAACTCTAGAGGACGAGGGAGTATGTGTCAGTTTCCTCATCTGTGAAATGGGGACAATCTGGAGGAGACTGTACAGACGAAATGAGATGATGCTTGGAAACCCCGTTGCACACACCTGGCCTGTAACCTGTGGATGCCGTTACTACTCTCAGGGAGGACTGAGTCCCGAATATGGCCATTTCCTTGGTAGACTGGGGGCTCCCCTGGGGCATGCATCTACTGTGCCCCTTTTCTGTGCCAGGCCCATGCCAGGGACTGGGCACACGGTGTGAACAGGACACAGGTTATCTACTGTGTTCTTGAGCTCCCTGGCTTGACAGTAGATACACAGCGGGGCCGATCACCTGCTAGGTAAGTCATGCAGGAGAAGCAGGCCTGGGACTCACGGGTCTGGTGAGGGTGGGACTGGGCAGGGGACACTCGTGCACTGAGCCAGGCCATGGGGGCAGAAGTGGGCAAGAGCAAGGTGGGTTTTTGATGATTCTGGAGGGGGGCTTCCAGGGGACGTGGGATGATTTGTGGACTGGGGCTGGGGATACCGGGAGAGCCGGGGCCCTGGGCCCATACTCACGAGTATGGGCTGCTGTCACTCTTCCCGACATCTGGGGCCCGCAGTTTGTGAACCAGGATTCTGATGATGCGAATAAAGAGGATGAAGTTCACCTGGTGGGTGGGGGCCAAGGTCGGGTGGTCAGAGAGGGGAGGCAGGGTGTCCAGCCCCCTGGGCTGATGGCCTGTCTTCTTCCCCAGGGCCCAGCTATCCATCCATCTTACCTCTCCCCTACCTCTTCCCACTTTGGGAAAGTCATCCAGGAACTCTCCCTCACATCCCTAAGGGCTGGGCCTCCCAATCTGCTTTCTCTACTCTAGAGGAAAAACTGGTCGGGAAAGGGCTGGGGACAGTCCTGCATTAGGCATTGGGAAGCCTAGGGTTCAGTTCTGACCTAGACACGAATTTCCTGTGGGACCTGGGTCAGTTGTCTACCCACTCCGGGCCTCAGTCTCCCCGTCCCTAAGTGGTGGGAGGAGGCCTTACCAAGATGGAGGCGAGGATGGGGGCCTTTATGATCCACCACAGTGAGGAGATGATGGTGTCCCAGCATCTGGGCAGGGTACGGTGGGGGAGAATGAGAGATTGTCCTCGGCCAGAGAGAGTCAGCAGTCCTCCTGTTGTCCCCGGCTCTGCCCCAAACCCTTTAGAGACCACTGGTCCAGAGTCTGTTACTCCCCGGTCCCCCTCATCCCACCCGGGGGATCTGCCCCGAGTGACAGCAGCCAGGAGGAGGGGGTGGGGTGACAGCTCACCCGTAATCCTCAAAATGGATTCTGATGATGGTCCACACCATGGTGAATGTGCTGGGCACCCCTGTCAGGGCCAAAGGAGAGAGAAAGAGGAGAGAGTGTGGCAGGAAGAGGGGGAGATCGAGGAGGAAGAGCCAGGAAGAGGCAGGGAGAGAAAAGGGTGGGTTTCCAACGTGGCCACGGATGGTGGCATATATAGGTAGCTCAGTGCGCAAAGATGCCTCATTGAGGGGGTGAAGCTCTATGTCTGAGGGACTGTGTCTGCCTAAAGGGGACTTGTTTTCTCATTTGGGCAGAGGCACTGTATAGATTAGCAGCGGCCCTGTGTGTTTCAAGGCCTGGAGGGGAAATGGAAGGATGCTCAGAGAACCTGTGTGTTCCACGGGTCAGCTCGAGGTGCAGCCGCAGCCAGAAGGCCCTTGCCCAGGGGTCAGACGACGGGAGGACTTTTATCAACCCACGGCCAAGTGCCTTGCAGGCAGGATCTGCAGCCCAGCAAGACCTAAGGCAGCAGGCTGGGTTGGTACCCACCCCCTAATGAGCTCCCCAGGCTTTGCCCCCTTGTTCCCAGCCTGGCAGCCCTCCCTGGTACCATACCCCAGCCGATGAATATGTACCCCCAGAAGTACTTCCTCTCGGAGAAGAAGGAGACGGCGAGCAGGGTGTGCAGGTAGAGGCCCTCCACCAGCAGCCAGAAGAAGTTGGCCATGACACAGTACTGGAATAACACCACGGCCGCCTTACAGCCCACCTGCAGGGGGAGGAGAAGAGGGGGGCCCAGTGGAGTTAGCAGGGGTCCCTGCCTGCCCACATCTCTGTGTGGGGTGACAAACAGGATTGCAGTACAGCCAACTTACTCTCTTACTTATTTCTGTATTATTCCCTTAGAAATATACTCAGTGGTTTTCCCATTATCCCTAATTTTACATCATCTGATGCTTTGGAATAAGCTTGCAATTTTAATTATCCACCCATCAATTTATCATCTATTCATCTTCCTATCTATATATCTATCCACCCACCTACCCATCCAACCATCCACCTACCCACCTATCTATTTATCCATTTATTTACCCATCCACCCACCAGACATCCACTGCCAACTCACCCATCTATCCATCTACCATCCATGCATCCAACCATTAACTATCTATCTGCATCCATCATCTTCCATCTATCAGTCCATCCACAGACTCACCTGTCTCTCTCTCCATTCATCTACTATCCACATACTAGACATCCACTACCAACCCACACACCTAGACATCTATCCATCCATTCATTTATCCACTTGTCCATCAATCTGCTCATCCATCCAACCACCAATATACCCCCACCCATGATCTATCCAATTTTTCTTACTTTATCCATCTATCCTTCCACTTAGTCATCCACACACTATTTACCCCATCATCCAGCTACCAACCCATCCACTTACCATCTCCGCTACTCATTTATCTTATTCCTATTATGATTGAAGGTAGCTGGAAGACGTATGAGGGAGAATTCTTGCTTGCATTAGCAAGAATCCCTTGAAAGTGTAGGGATATGGGCTGTGGACTGTGGAGTGGGGTTTAGATGGAATTGTTGGGGGAAAGATGGGGACGGAGAAGAGGGAAGAGGAGGGTGAAGTAGAAGTTAGGAAAAAGAGGAGAGTGGAGGGATGATCCTTCCTCCTGGGGGCCAGAGGAGCTAGAGGAAGAAGGGGTTCCCCAGGCAGGTGAGGACAATGGAGGAGTTAGGGAGACCCCTGGGCAGGGAAATCAGGGGCTCTGGGCGGCCCAGCTCGCATGATTAGAAGGTCTTCTGGGCCATCTGTCCTCTCCCAGAAACTATCTGCCGTTTCAGATTGCGCCCAGATACCTGTAAGCCAGAGCTTAAAGCCACCCTCTTCCAGGAAGCCCCTCTGCTTTCATTCCTCCTTGTACCCAGAACACAGGTTCCCACCCTTTCCTCCTGTGCCGTCGGCTTTGAGGCACCCTCAGAGAGCAGCCTACCCTCCTCTCCCAATGGTTGGAAAGTCCTTCCTCAGGTCTTACTTCAGTCCCTCCTGTTACAGGCAGTCTGTTTCCCCCACCTTCCCTCATCTGCTTTACAGCAAGAATAACTCAGCTCTTTAACAGGACTATTAGCTGTGCTTCTCCTTGCCTTGGAAAAGCTTCACAGAGCTGCTAATGAATCGGGAAGCTCATTTCCACAATTATCCTCAACAAGTGCGCCGGCGGCTTCAGGCTGCTCCCCAGGCTCCGGGGCTCACACCGCACAGGTCTGAGCCCTACTCCCAGGCTGGATCATCTGAGGCGACCTGGGAATGGCCAGGGTGGCTCCCCTCCCCCTTGTCGAGATGCCTGAGATACCACCATCACTCTCTGGAGAATTTTTTTTTTTTTTGGCCACACCTCGCAGCTTGTGGGATCTCAGTTCCCAGGTCAGGGATCAAACCTGGGGCCTTGGCAGTGAGAACGTGGATTCCTAACCACTGGACAGCCAGGGAACTCCCTGGGGAGATTCACTTTCAATTTCACTCTCTGGGGAGAAGGTACTTCTGACCCCTGAAATAATGCACTGTCTCTGAGGTCACTCATGAGGCAAAAAGTCACTGACCACAAGGGACGAATGGGAGCCAGGGCTGGTCTTGAGCTCCCTGTCTCAGCTCAGGGGGCACTCAGGGAGGAGGCCCTGAGCACAGAATCACCTGCAGATGGACCCCTTAGTGACGGGCCATGAATTCCTTAAATGCTCTCTTAACCTCCCTTGCCTAGGATGGTCCAGAGTGACTAAGGGCAGGGGAAGAATAGAAGAAGAGGAGGGCTGTGTGGGTTTGGACTGGCTCCAGAAGGCAACGGGGGGAGTAGGAAGGGGGGCACGGTGAGCAGAGCCATGGGTATGCAGATGGCAGAGAGGAGGGATGGAAGGAAGCTTGAATGTCCTTGCACGACGGGGAAACTGAGGAAGGGATTTCCCTAAGGTCACATAGGAAGTTAGCAGCAGAGGCGGGAAGGGGGCTGTGGGCTCTGGCACGAAGTGTACCACTTTGCACCCAGAAGAGGTGTTTTTCATTGGCAGGAGTAGGTGTGTGAACTCCCAGATGGCCAAGCAGCATCTCCTGCTGCTGGGAGGGAAGTGGGATCCAAGGAGCTGGCAGGCAGGGTCGGAGGGGGGCCATCTTTGGAGAGAGAGAGAGAAAGAGAGAGGGAGAGAGAGAAAGGGAGAGAGAGAGAGAAAAAAGGGGAGACAGGAGGGAGGAGAGGGAGAAGAGGAGATTCAGGTGACAGATGGCAGAGGTGGGCCAGGGAGGTGGGCCTGGGCAGGTCCTCACCGAGCCCTTGGAGCAGTGGTCCGACTCCCCGCTGTCGAAGAGGGCCAAGTCTTTGATGAAGACAGCGGTGGCCCTCAGGATGAAGGATACGAAGAGATGGATGTGGATGTAGTTCCGCGTGCAGTGGAGCTTCCTGTGGGAGGTGGCCAGATCCAGGAGGCCGAAGGGGCCTCAGACCCCCACCCCAACCAACAAGTCCAGTGCTCTGAGGAAGGGTAGGGCTTGTAGCCTCTGGATGCAGACCCCACCCCGAAGGGGGGCCCTGTCCCCAGGTATCCTACCCATGTGTGCAGCCTGGCTTGCAGGTGCCTCCTTCCAGGGCACAGGCCCTGCCCTCTGGTGCCCTATCCCCAGGTACAGGGCATCCTGTGAGGGATGAGGCCGACACAGGTGAACACTTCGAGCACCCTGCTGTCTCTAGGGGAGGCTGGCCTGGCGGGGGCGCTGGGGAAGGACTGTGTGATGCCTGGGAGCTGACAGTGGAGGGGGCAGAGCATGCCTGGGTGAGGAGTGACCTGGCTGGTCTGCTTTGAGACCTATTGCAGGAGCTGGTCCTCACCTGAACAGGCTCAGGATGGCAGTGGCGACAAGGAGGGTGGCGAGGGACAGGCTGTAGCCGACGGTGTAGCCAGTCTTCACAGAACTGTAGAACATTGTCTGCTGCTGCTAGAGGGAGGTGGGTGAGGATCTTGGGCGGGGGTGGGGGGACTCACCTAGGGGGTGTTGGCAGAGGCGGGGTGCCCTATACATCCTGCCTCCCATCCCTGCCTTGACAGATGAGGAGGCTGAGGCCCAGGGCTCCCAGGAGCAGCTGAGCGGCCCCTTCCAGTTCCCAGAGCCCCTTTCTCCCTGGTTTCCACGGATGAGACAGCACTGCTTCCCAGGGTCGGGCAGGGGTTGAATGCCCTTTCTCTGCTCCTTCACAGGGGAAATGTCAGTGGGGGAAGGGGCGAAGACCTCACACGATCCACTGGTCCATCCATTCATTCTTCAGTCACGTGTCCAACAGCCCTTCTGGGCCAGCTCTGGGCTTGGCATCCTCAAGCACAAGACTGCTTGCCCTTCAGACCCCCCACAGGAGGCCCTCTCACCAAGTGGCGAGGAATGGACAACGGTAAAGAAGACGCTAGGGGGAGGGTAATTTCCCATTTGGGACTCTCAGAGGCTGGATTTAGCAGGAGGAGGGCAATCTGGCCTTTATGGGGAGGAGGGACAAAGCTGGACACCAAGGGCTTCCTGCTGGCCCCTCCCCATGGACACACACGCAGAGCCATGGTCACTGGGCCGCCCCTCCTTCCTCCCCACCTTCCACACCCTGCTGGAACAGAGGCCAGTGGTCAAGAAGGATCCTGCCCGAGGATCTGGTGGGCTTTTAAGGCCTCTGAGGAAATTGCTGCCCTTTTGGGAGGAGTGAAAGCCTTGTCTGTGAAGGGCTTTGGGGGTGGGACAGAGGTCATCACAGACAGACTACATTCACCCACCAAAGCAGCGAGGGGCTCCTAGCTCGGGACTTCAGTTATACACCAGCCTCCCCATCAATATCCTTCCCTGGCTCCTGGCCCCACATCCTTACAGAGACCACCTATGCTCCACCTGCTCCAGGGCAGATCCCCATCCTGGGACTGAGGACAATGGTTCTGTCCCTGTCCCTGCCCCTGATTGGCTCCTGGGTATCTGAGGCTGGTTCATTCCAGGATCCGCACCTCAGTTTCTCTTCTGCGTGTGACAGGTGGGATGGGCTCTGTCTGCCCTGCCAGGGCTGGATCAAGGCTCCCACAAGGGAGTGGAGTGGCCTAGCCTGGGAGTGCTGCTTCTGCTTTGATGCTGTGAGTCATCCTCCTGGAAGCCCCCTCCTGGACCCTGTCAGGGGAGCCAGGGGATGCGCCCCTGGGAATGCGGGCCTGGAGAGGGAGGAGGCTTGAGGAGGGCAGACCCTGGGAGTCCTGGCTCCGACATGGAAGGCAACTGTGCCCCTTGGTGGGAGAGAGTGGAAGGGGCTAGCAGGCCCAGGTACTCTAGCGTGTGTGTGTGGTGCACTGAGGCCCACCTCGTCCAAACTCGATGTGTTGTCATCCAAGCCACAGGCAATGGGGTAGGGACCAGGCTCCAGGGGCGTCCAGCCCTCGTCAGTGCAGCTGCGGCTCACGTTGCGGCCTGGGTGGAGGGCAGGGGCAGAGAGGAGAGAGGTTGAGGCAGGGAGTGGGTAGGTCGGAGGAGTAGGCATGGGGCCTGGCTGTCTCTCTGCTCAGCCCTACTCTCACCACCCCCTGCGGCATCAGGCTCCAGCTGTTCTGACCTGGACACCCAGGGCATCACGGGGCAGCCTGGGGCAGGGAGAGGCACCTCCAGGGTGGCCAGGGGACGCACCAACACAGATGACAGCCAAAGCAGACATTCCTGCCCCTTGTCGTGTCTGAATCTGACCCCAGGCGCAATTTAAACTCTGATCCTTGTCACGAGCAGCCTGGATCCTTGGCGTGGAACGATCCCTGACCCTTGTCATGAGCTGAATGCTGACCCCCGTCACAGGGCCATGGATGCTGGTGTGGCAGATGCTTCCCTTGTCTGTCCTGTAGGTACAGACAGCAGCCTTCTGGCTGCGGCAAGGGGCCCAGGCCTGCCCAGCCCTCCTGGGTCAGCCTGCCTGGGCCTACGGGCCTGGGTTTCCTCCCACGCCTGCGGGCTGGGGGTTCAGATGTGCTGCTGGAGAGGGACCAAAGGTGAGGCAGGAGGTGGGTGGGCGTCGGAGGACCTCTGATAAGGGCACAGGTGTGAAGTCCTCACACACGGAGAAGGGGCACACGCCCAGGCAAAGGCAAGTATGAGAATAATTGAGCTGCACACCATTGCAGAATCTCGGGGCTGAACCACTAAGGCTGGGGTTCCAGGACAGTGGCACTGTCCGCTGTCCCCGGAGGACCAGGGCTGCAGCAAAGGGGCAGGACCACTGAGCGGCCATGTGAGGTGAGGGGTGACCCCAAGGCTCCCCACTCGCCAGGGAGGGGAGAGGCTGAATAGAAAATGGGTGAGCCAGAGAGCTCTCTGCCCCCATCCCAGGACTCATTACAGAGGCACTGAGTCCGGGACACAGCCTTCCTGCCAGACTTGTTGTGGGAGAGGAAAGGAGAAGGAGGAAGGGGGAGGGGAAGGAGGAAGAAGGAAAGGAGAGGGAGGGAGGGAGGATGAGGGGAGAGAGAACAGGTAGGAGGAGAAGGGGGTAAGAGGATGAGGAAGAAGGGGGAGGGGAGAGAAAAGCAGGGAAAGAGATAAGGTGAGGCGATGAAGAAGAGCTGAGAGAGAAGATGGGTCCTGACATCCTTGCCGTCTAGCTCCTTTCTCACCTGCACCACCACCATCAGCACCTCCATCAGCACCAGCATCACCATGACCATGACCGTCACCATCACCACGATGCACGTTTTGAGAACTTTTCCCAGGTACACGGTACAGAGCACTTCAGGCATATTGTCTTTTTGAAGCCCCTCAACCACCCAGTGGGAAAGTAATCCCATTTCACAGTTGAGAAGTAGGGCTCCAAGAGGCTGGTCACTTGCTCAAGGCCACGTACATAGGACAGGGTAGAGCAGGTGTGGTCCCATAGTCTTCCCAGGTAACCTTGGCCCTCATCTGCACTGAGGTGACTGAGGACTTGTTTCGGGTGTCCAGGTGCAGAGCTGTAGGAGGCGTCAAGCCATCCCGAGCTCAGGGAGGGTCACTGTGCATATGTTTAAAATTTCCAAACCTTGCCGTGTGCTCAGAACATCCCAGGTGATTCCCTATTCCCTATTTCTGTAAATCCTCCTGGCCACCATTTGAAAGAGGTTCTTGTCACCCTACTTTATGGACGAGGAACTGAGGGACAACTAGGGGTAGGGGGATAACCAGGAAGGAGCAGCCCGTTGGGTCTCTTTCCACTGTGAGGTCCCAGGGGTGGCAGGAAGGACTTTGCTGAGGAAGGGACCCTAGGTTGGGCCCGTTTCTTGCCCTGGTGGCCCATTTCTGCACAGACCTCCCAACCGCACTGCCACAGGAGGCTCCCAGGGCATGAGAAAACTCTTCACACTGCCCCTCTGCACACCGCCCCTCCTCACCCCCTCAGCTTTCTCCCGCTGCAGCAGAGGGTGGGCCAGCCTGGAGGCTTCAAGCAGCCACTCATCAAACTGCAGGCCCCCATCAGCCCCAGATCTCAGGAGCTCACTGGGGGCCCGGAGGCCATGCCCCTCCCCAGGAGCTGATTCTTGGGGGACTGACCCTGCCAGACTGGGGCAAGTAGGAAAAAGGGGACAAGGCCAAACCAGCCAGCCTTAAAGCAGGGACACCAAAGCTCGGGCTTTGGGCTCCCCACTGGCCGGAGGGTCCAGGGCTCGACGAGGCCAGGCCCATGACATAGTGGACACCTGGGATTATCACGAATGAAGCTAGCGAGCCTGGGTGACCCAACAATGTCTACACAGCAGCATCACATGCCTTCTGTGGGAGCAGTGGGGAGCAAACATTAATGTGTTAAGGCTCGTGATCAGGAGTTACCAATAGTCCCATTAAAAAGGGGGACGCCAAGAGTGAGAGAGGTTGGGTGACTTGCCCATGGTCACACAGCAAAGAAGCAGCAGGCCTGGGATGCAGACCGAGGTCAGCCTGACTCCACATCTTTTTGGGCTCCCAGCAGCAGCTGAAGGGGGACTTTGTCCCTTGGAGCCCCGATTGCCCAGAGAGCAAGGGAGGGCAGGGGATAGCGGGGCATCTTCAGGGCTGGGTGGCCACTTTGAAGAGCCTGGGACTGAAGTCCAGGACTCCAAGGGAACTGCTCTTGAGATGATCTCAGTAGAAGTCACCATGGGACCCTGAGGATCAGTCAACAGTGTCTTCCCCAGTCTGGGCTGGGGAGCCGACAGACCCTGTGTGTGTAGAGGGGGCTACGGAGGGTACGAGAAAGGGCGAGGGACTTTAACCCTGTGCTGGGAGGGCCACTCCACATCCTCCC